TGATTCTCCCATCTTTATTGTACACTACAACTAAATTGGGACTGTTCACACGACTGTTCCAACATGTTTTAAATAAACATGTGGTCAAATATTAGTTAATTTTACACGTCCTTTGATTTTAGAAACCACATTTAAAAGTCCATCTATCTCATCCGTTGCAAAAGCTAACATACTTCTAAAGATTTAATTCTGATAGTGAGCGTATTGATATGAGCGCATGTGTGGAGCACAAAGCAGTCATAACGTTTTCACCGACTTCCTACTACCTTATCAATATATTAACAGTCTGTCATTATTACTCATCCACTATGTAAATAATAGTATGTGAATTTGTTTATTATTAAAATTTCTTTAGGTCTCCAGACGGTTCTTGTATTTTGACAAACAGTCACGATAATATTCTTCGTCTTTTCAATCTCCCTTCTTCAATTTTCGAAAATAGCAGTGCAGAACTCTCCTTTTCCGAACCAGAAGAAATGGTACGTTTTATTCGTTTATTGTTTATTAATACACTTAATTTTGGTTTGATGTTTAGCCGCTTACATTTTCAAATTATGTATCTAAGGAAGTAAGTAATTAACGTTTTGTTGTTTTTTGGTTCTTATTGAAACCCAATGATTTTGGCAATTAACTTTTAACTATAGTATCATGGTGTTAGCAGCATTAGCTGCTTTTATACTGAGTGAATACTATCGACAACCAAGCTCATACTGATTGCTATTTGCATCATTTTTCAATCGTGACGTTCACTTATCTTAGTTCATTGATTTTATTGTCACAGAAATAGTATACACCTATTGTAATTAGTGTAAAAAGTATAACTTGCGCTACTGTTCGTAAGTATATATTGTTCATCCTAAGATTATAATTGCAATTTTTCGGTAATGGAAATTTGCCAGTCATTTATAAAGCATTTGTGTTTATTTACAGAGTCTTATTTATTATGAACTAATTTTTGTGCAGTGCAAAAATGGTAAAACAGCGCCGAGAAACCCTGACTGTTACTGACTTTTTATACATGTTCTCGCCTCAAAAAATGATTGTCCGATTTTAACGTAAGATTGTTTATCAAAAATGAGCGAAAGCATTGATGATGATGACTGGTTCAAATGGTATCTCAAATCTGTTACCTTGCCTATTCTGAATTCACTGTGTATTTTTTACACACTAAGTTACATTTATAGCTTAGTACACAAAACTTCCTGATTATTGTTGAATTGTACTTCATTCACTGCCACTTTTCATGCCTTAATTACTGATTATGATTTACACTACTTCTCAAGTAGAGTCGATATTAGGGATACTGACAGAGACATATTGTGGTTAGTATAATCACCTGACAATGTGATCTACATGTCGTCTTACACTATTTCATCCAAGTGGTTCCATAATAGTTATCTACAATGAATAGGAATAAAGTTTAGCACTTCGCATCAATCTATCTCAGTGTGGGATACTTAACTACATTAGACTAAATATAGACAAAATAAAAAGGGTCCAGGTTTTCATTTACGACTCTTCTTAAATCATCTGTGCTGTTGATATAACGATTGGATCGTCTATCTCAAGTTCTGATGTAAAGACGTAGATAAAAAAAGATAAGTCAGGTGTTGGAGTAGTGTATCTTCATTAATTGAAACGTTTATAATGTGTGTGGGGTTTGCTTAACTACTGCCTATCCTAATATATATTGCTAACAAGGGTAGGAGTTTTTGAGTATGAGATGTGTAGAGAACCAGTTTTTTAGTGAATTTCTCGAAATACTAAAAACACGGTCAAATGATTTATGTTGCAGAACTGGAAATCAGTTGCAATCATTTTTTTATTGTTCAAATACTAAAAATATATATTGATCTAATTTTACTGTGAAAGTGAAACAAATCTGACTGGTGTTATTATTGTGGGTGGTTTGATGTATAAACCAATCCAGTTAAAAACTTAATGATGTTATTGTTTTCAGAGATCTGTTCTCGTGATGCGTGAAAAAGAATTAATCTACGACTACTGTTGGTATCCATTAATGTGCTCTGCTGATCCAATTAGTTGTTGGTAAGCTTTATCGATCATTCTTAATATCGTTTATCTGTTTCATATATGAATTATAGGAAGTTTTAGTTGTAATTTCGTTCAGCTAACATTGATTAGGCATCCAAGGTTGTTACTTCGAACAGGATTTATGCTTTCATCACCTCTCAGTCACTTTCTCTTGTACAAATAAATATCCAGTGATGTTTTACATCACTTGATTTAGATATTAGATAAATGAGTTAATGTTTCTTTTATGTTTATCTGATTTAATTCTACTTATCTTGACGAAGTATTGAAGTTTCATATATTATGATACTGGATTTCATTGCAAAGACAGGCTAAGATACAGAACAGTGAGAAACATCGGATATTGTAAAAGTTCTCCATTCAGGTTGATGTAAAATAGTACAAAAACAAAAATAGGTCGTCCAAAAAGGTTGTTAAACTGTGATTCAAGATATGATTTGTATGAGAACAGATAGTTCTACTGTCAGATTCACTGGGAAGTCAGAAGACTGTCTTAGCTTCTCGGAATATTTATTTACAAATATATGTAAATAAATGCCTTTGCATTAAATAATAGTTAACTTAGGTCAGAATTTAAATTCACAATGGCAAACTCAGCAACAGCTTTTATCTCTCAGCACATGCAACAACAAAAATACGCAGTTCAATATCGTGGACTGATAAAAAGATATACTAACTGATGGAACTGTCAGTTTATGGTTCACTAATGAAATGCAAGAAAGAAAATTGTACGATAAAAACCAGTTACTCATGAGTAATATCGTAAGAACACAAATTTTATAACGTATTATAACCAATTTTTTGGATTGTTTAACTGGCACTCACCATATAAGTTTCCTTCTGTTATTTGATTCATAATTAATACGTGAGATAACTTACTTATTAATGTAATAAAAAAATATGAAATCATATGTACTTGTTACGTTCACATAAATTAAATATAATCGTTCATTTAACTAGGCATTTTCTGTTTTTATTTCCACTTTAACTTCGTGGTCACTTTAAAAAAAAATTAATCTGACGGATAATAAATAAAATTGTTTAGAGCGTACGATATTTACTTGGTTATATGATATGGTTTATTAACTCATTTATTAGGTACAGCTTTGTATACTTCACTTCTAGTCACACTTTAAATATTGAGGGCTAGCGATGCTACTCAGTTATCCAAATGAAAGTAGATAGAAGGAGGTTTGAACTTGAGGTTTTATGATTAAAAGTTGGATGACGCTTAATTACTAAGCTACTGCTCAGTTTTGTCAATTTTCTATCATAAAAATGAAGATTTCCTTTGTTGTTATTTTAATTTTTATATCTGTTTTCATTCGATAAAGATGAATGTTAGGTTTCGTTTGTTTAGCATTATTATTATTATTTCTTTGTAAAATATATAAACCATAATTAAAGTTTAGCTAGTACTAGTCGCCGAAATCCTATTCGACTGTGGGATGCATTTACCGGAGTGATACGGGCAACTTATATTCCTATTAATCATTTGGTAAGTTTAATATAATGAATGTACTTATGTGAAATCGCTAATTGTTCACTGATAATGAGTTTAAATGAGTAGGAAATTGACTTAGAAGTAGACTGAATTTGTTCAAAGTCCCGTTTTTACTTTTTTAAAAAGAATTCGGTTTAGTTTCAGATTTAAAACAAACTAAAGCATAAAAAGTTTACAAACAACTAGTGAAAATCTTCGGCTTGAGTTCTGTGTCTTTTTGTTAAACACTCTTTAAAAAGAAATTTCACGTCCCTTCAGGAATCCATATCCATACATGATTCAACTTCGTAGCTGTAAGGGCGTTAGATATTAACATCGTTGGATCCGCAGTGGTCCAGAAGTTGTGTCCGCGCGAGACCGAATGTTTTGGATTCGATTTCCGCATGTAGTGTTGTGGATGCTCACTGCTGAGTCACATACTAGGACACAACGACCGTCCAGTGCTCCCAGTTTTCAACGATTGACTAACTTAGATTGGTTCATGATTTTAATGAAATTCAACAGTCTCTACATTTCTATACTTAAAAAGGCGTTACTGCTAATACATTTTGGTACTTAGTTTTTCAGTGTTTGAGTGGATGTTACGGGGTAGTTGACTTCCATGTAGATAAAATCCTAGATACGTCTAACTACAAACCGAAATTGCTCGACTGTTTTCAATCAATACTAAAACTTTTATTTCGAGTTAAACGTTGTAAAAATCAATTAACCTAAGAATAGCAGAGTCATTTGTCAATATCAACTATGTGTGAATAGCTTCAATATTGTAGAATTTATTCAAAGTGTTTTACTTCACAAAATAATTACAGCTCTTTACAATATATAAAGAGGGAATAAACAAAACTGATATTTAGTGACTTTTTAACCTATTAGTATTATATCTCTCTCAAATGTTATTTGTCCTTCTTATTGTTATGATCAAGCTTAACGACAGACTATAATATGCAATATGTAACACACAGACTGAGCATATTAGTCTTGACAGTTTCAAGGCTAATTTGGCTTATTTTTTTAGTACTACACTTCACCTCAATATTTTGTACTCAGTGTTTTGGGTATCTGCTAGTAGTGCTTTAACGCTATTGATAGCTGAGTAACTGTAACATTTCTCACAGCATTTATATCTAACAATCACTGCTTATAACCATTCAGTTGTTGTAGACTATAGCCATTCCTTTATGAATAGTTTACTGTCGGTTCTTTAAATATTATGAGTTGATAATAATTTCTGAATGATGTCTCTTTACTCTTAACGAGAATTTGTTCGTTACGAGGACTAACAGATTTTATTGAAAAAGAAATGAACACATGTTAACTTTCTACACCTAAATGTTTAAATTTGAACCATTTTCGAATTATTATTTTGTATCTTGCTGATATCAACACCCATCAGTAAACATAAAACTAAATGAGAGTAATAGAATAAAGTATTCATGATATTTATTAGTAGTTGCTCTTATCTTAAATGTATAAACAGGAAATTATCTGCCAAGTAAATATACAAGCGATAGGTTTTCTTTTCTTTTACATCGATGACACCAAGCTGATATTAACTCTATTAATACATTTTGAGCATTTTACAAAATTTTAAAATTATAAGCTGATTGAAGCTACTTTGATCCAAGCGTTCATAGTTTAATAAAATTGTTACTGTTTATTTTTTTTACTCCGTAGGGTGAAGTTGTTTCCGCTTCCAGTTTATCATTTTCTTCGAATGGTCAACGTTTATACGCTGGATTTCACCGATACATTCAAGTGTTTGATGTTTCTCGTCCAGGAACAGAGTCAGTCAGGCGACCAAAACTTGGAAGTAAGGAATAAATAAATTTTAGCCTTGTTTAACAGAATATACCACTAGTTAATATATATATCGTTAAAAGTTTCTCACTAAATATTTGTAATCATTCTAACTACTGTGTATTTGTAACTGAGTGCATGAAACTGAACTAGTTGAGACTCAAATAGCACTGGTTGAAAGAAATGCTCATAAGGAACATTTATACAACATCGACATTTTTTTTCTTGAAAAATTGAGCACCTCATAAATGTAATTTAGAACATTGAAAAAGTCAGCTTCTCTTAATTAAGTAAACACTTTTAAAAATTCCAACACATTCTATCTGTATAATTAATTTTCAACAGATTATCTCAATATTTGAATAGGAACATAAATATTACTTTGTCGTTGTAAGTTTAAATTCAAACAAACAAAATACCTTTCTTTATAAAGTATTTAAACAGATATCTTATGAATTACCTTTATATAGAGATTGTCATTGTTATTTTTTTCGATGATAATATGTGTAGCGTTTGGTGAGTACTAAGTAGTTCATCTATTGAATGTTACTCTCTTAGTCAGTATTAATTGAAAAATATACCTAACAAATCAAGCGTTTACTGAATATTTGTTACCTTATTTCATTATTAGTTAAATGTTAATCTTTGCTTAAATTATATTGTAAATTATTACAACTTTTTTTAATACTGAATAGAAAAACCACTCCAAGGTGGTATAATATCATGTATTGGTGTTTTGAATGATCCTAGTCGAAATATCTACGCTACAGGTTCCTATAACGGGACTGTATGTATATTTTCTGAACCTGGTAATCTGATAACACGTTTATTTAGTCATCAATCTGGAGTTACCCAAGTGACGTTGACAAAAACATTTGCAGGAAAAAATGGTGCACCATGGTATGTTTTTGTTGGTGGTCGAATGGATTCGCGTATATTTGTTTGGGATGCAAGAAATCTAGTAAATCCAATCACAATACTTCATCGACGAATTGAAAATCATCAGAAATTTCAGTTTGATGTAGAACCGTAAGTCTGCTATGTTTTTTTGTTGAGATCCCCATATTCCGTTCTCCTGCTGTTTTTGGCAGAGTAAATGTTATCAGAACTGTTATTCTGGTTAAAATATTCGATCATTCTATGATAATAGATAAATGCTTTATCTTTACCAGTCTAATTTTTAATGCCTACTTATTATCTGTATGTTATTTAGGTAAAAGAATAATAAGCTATCTTTAATATAAGAGTATATGTTTGTCACAAAAGTTTAATTCAAGTTACTTTAGAAGCCATTCATTCGAAAGAGCGAAAATAGGCTGTAGTGATTACTTATAAAACACTGTCACTTGGATATTTTTGACACAAAATTAGTTTTTAGTTATTTCGATTCTAGATCGTCCTGATAACTCATAACTTTGTTTTGTGTAATATTTGAAGTGAAAACATAAGATTTTATACATTGAAAGTCTATTACGAAGTGATGATTGTATTGAGTTAAGTTTGCGATTTTTATCTGTTAATGAATTACTACTGTATCTAAGACACCAATTCCAATCTAAAATCTGTAGCCGCTTAACTAGTGCTGAATATCAAATTTGAGTGCAAATTTTCTCACGTTTTCAGTTTCAAGTGGTCAAATTACTTGTTTTTAAGGAGATAACACTCCGCTGTAACAGTTACCAAAATAGGTGTGCTTCTTCCGTAACTATCAACGTGAATACATGTATAGATTGGTATTTGATAATATTCACTTGCTTACAGAAAAACTAAACGTTATCGATGTTAAAATAGGGAAAAATATTTTTCTGTTTAGTACATTAAAGTATTATCAACGTTTTAACCATACTGTAAACTGTTTACATTCATGATGTTTGAATAAATGCATTCCAAATCTTCCATCTGCAATTTATTTTCCTTTATTTATAGCATTGGTCGTTATCTATTTACTGGCAGTCAAACTGGTGTTGTTTGTGTATACGATTTACCTCAATGTATTGATCAATTTTCTGAAAATGGACATACCTACTCTTCTTCAAATTGGCGAGCACATTCTGACAGTACAAATGGTGTTAGTGTACATCCTAGCCTTCCTATTATAGCTACTTCCTCAGGTCAACGTAGAATTAAACAACCAACTTTAAAGAATGTATGTAAAAAGCAACGTACAATAAAAACAACATTAGAAGTTCAACACCCTCATATGAATGAAAATATTTCATCTAATCAATCAGCATTAGACAGCAGTGACAGTGAGAGTAGTATTAGTAGTAGTAGTTGTGATGAGAAAGATTTAAGTGATAGTGAAGCTGTTTTAATGACACCATCAGTTTTATTTACTGGTAGTAGTACAATATCATCCGGTGAAAATGAAACTAATCCAATAGTTGAAGAATTTCCTTTAGCTTTAAAAGGCAAACTAACATTGTTACCAAGAGAAAATCGTTTAAATCTATGGACATTTCCTTTATTAGTGACTACATAAATTTTCTCTTAATTTCTAATTTCCTTTTTTTTATAATTCTTATTTTGTATATATATAAGAAGAAAAAAGATTTATCTTTTTTATATACTAATGTTATTAATTTATATTAAGCGTCAAGTTTTTAGAGTTGTAAAACAGCGTATATATGTATTGCATAACTTATTTAAACTAAATTGATAATTTCAACTCGACAATTTTCAATTTGCTAATCGACAATCACATATTTTATCCTAATCAATAGCTTCCAGGTTTTCAATGGTGGTCTAGCATCGATCGATTCATAACTTTAATGAATAACTTAATAATCACCATAACCTCATACTGATAAAATCAAATAGTTGGCTAAATGAAATCACATTCAAATCGAATTTACAAAGCCAACTATCGAAATGTTGATCTTTTATTTGAAAAAAAGTAATTAGACATGATTGTTATCATGTTAAACATGTCGAAGGTGTATTCATACTTAAAAAAACTAAACTTAGGAATTTCGCCAGTTTTTTTTTTATTAACAAACTATCATTTACTGACTCTGAAATATGAAATTATAATCTTTTTTTATTTTGACTAAGGATGCATAGACAGAATAGAATTAGGGTTTAGTTAATTTATATTTGGTTCAATATACCCTGATTGTCATGTACAACCCAATATATTTTTCAAATGGAAGAAAATGCCAAATAAAATGATATGGGTTTTTATTTCTGAAAATCGAGTGCATGTACTGAATGTTAATTTCCATCAAAATCATGCAAATTATTTCACATCATCAAGAAAAAGGGATTTCTAACACATTTCAGTTTTAGAATTAGACTACTTTGATGTTTTACGCAAATATATAATTATATTTATATATAACTAAATCTATCTATATTCGAATGATGAAAATACAAACTCTACCAGCTCATAAAATGTTTTTTTTTTAAAAACATAGAAATGACATATCTCTCTGTGCTGATATATGGTCCGACTAATTTTCTTACAATTCAGATTCACCGTATAGACTTGCTGCAAATGAGGTATAATCTAAAGCGCCACCATTTGCGACACCTGGTCCATTGTATGCTTTCATACGATTAATACAATAATCAGCTAGTTCAGGTTCCAATTCACGTTTCAATTGTTCTGTTGTAATGTATGGCTTTATACAAACGAGAAAAAAAAGAGAAAGTTGTAGAAATATTGTGTGTGTATGTGTAGGAAAGGGCTATTAAAAGCCTGATAAAAAGCGACTATGACAAATCACTTACATAAATTGTAAGATAATTATTGTAGGTGCTAATTAAATAACATGAGTAATCAACAGCATTGAATGAGAATGTTTGACTCTACTTTTCAAGTGTTCCGAATTAATTATGTTTATATTCTCACGCAATAAGAGCGACAACAAACAACTGTGTATTCTCATAAAAAAAGAGTTTATTACTGAATATGTGAAAGTCTAGTGCACTTTGTGATTTCCTCTCCTTTTTTAAAATCATACATATTTTCCAACTACAAATCTTTTAAATTTAATAAAACTTTTATTGGCTAAATAAGTGATGCTTAACAGCGGATTCGATGAATTTCACAGCCTTCAAAATATGAAATGGTGTTTTATTTTTCAAATGGAGATTTGTGAAATAGTTTAATAATTGTTTTAATACTTAGGATTTAATGTCGATAACTTCGATTTAGTTCAGAGTGCAATATGATAAGTTCCACAAAGCTATACTTCAGTTTTTCCACAGAAGTAAATTAATTATAATCTAGATATTTGTCTGTCAAGTGACTGATGTACATACAAATTTACGAATTTTAGTCGAAGTTAGTAAAGATCGCTTGTTTCTAGAACCAATATAATCGGCCTAGATACGTTTTAATATAAAATACTATTCGGTACGTATATATTTGTCTACTAGGAAAGTGAAGTTATCTACGTTGATATTACAATTATGAAATAGTAAAGAAAAAAAAACGGCGAACTTACTGTATCACCTGCTAAAGTTCTGAATGAATTAACCATTTGTTCAACTGTATCAGCTCCCATTGTTTGTTGTGACATAAATTGCATGAACGCATCAAATGTCACATAGCCAGTACAATGTGGATCAACAGTTTTCATAATACGCATGAAATCAGCTTCACCCTATGATAAATCAACAATATAAATGCAATTTAATATCCAATTAAATAATAAAAAGAGAAAAGCAATTAAATGTACTTATTTCCCTGTAATAAAGTGAGGGAATTTGCCTAGTAAAGGAAGAAAGTAACGATCAGAATATATTCAGATAGTGTTTTTTAAGCAAACTCACAATATTTATATATTGATTCATTCATTTTTGACAGTCGAAACGAATATCAACTAGATGTACGTAGAAAATTTTATGTAATAATATACACTAACAATAACTGTGTCAGAATGTCCTGAATCTTATCGATAGATAAGATAAATAATTCATATTAGTTAGTTAATAAATAATGGAGAATCTGGTTAGGAATAGCATCAATTCAAATTATTACACATCGAATCGCAACGAGAAGAACAAATTAACAAGATAAAAACTGGACATAAAGAGTAATGTTTTAATAGAAGAACAAATGAAATGTGAAGAGAAGCGAATAAAGCACAAATGGATACTTAACTAATGATTAGTGAGGTAGAAATTCTACTTTTGGTTCTGATTCATTCTGCTACTTGGCCTGAACAATCTTTGGTTCGTTTTATACTGTTACAGATCAAATTAGTTTTGAAAATATCATTTAGTGAATTCAATGAGTCTATTACTAATGGTTTAGCGTCCGCCATAAAAGATGAATACCTGTGACTTGGTACCTTTTATGTGTGCACTGTTGAGTTGTACCATACTATGAGGAAACGGCTGTCCAGTGCTTCTCGGTTTTCGACGGTACCCCAACTGATATCAATCTGTGATGTCTCCTATAGCCTGAAATGCTTTAGCTTTGAATGTATGCTCATAGTGTTTCTACTAGACACTTCAGAAGATTTTTTAAAATTGTTGACATAATAGTACTGAAGTTTTTATTCATTTTACCTAAGAAATATATAACATTGGGATTGAAAAAGTTGAATATCAGAAACACACCTAAGATAGTTTAGCTTGATTTCTTAAACAAATGTATCCATTGTGCATGATCGAATAAGTTTTTAAGAAAGATAAATGCATGAAAAAACCCAGAAATTATGATTTGTTTGGTAAAGTGATACAACACATGTGTAGTAGTATAAGCAGGGTGATTAAAAATAACTTTTTTACTATCTAAATGTATTTTCCTATATTATTTCTTACAGTATATGTGATACATATCATAATTCGAAGAAAGTGTTGTATACTATTACATTGACGGCATTTTATAAGAAAACTTACAGCAGCAGTATTTTTCATATTTCCCAATGGTGAAGTTTATATCCAATAGTGAACAATCAGCAGATTTATATAGATGAATGATTATGCATTCAAAGTAGGTAGAAATAAACCAGGAGAAAAATCATACAAGGCGATAAAGGACGACTAACTGATCACTTATTAATAACTAATATCATGTAGTAAATTATTTAGTTTTAAGAGAATTTTATTGAGTTAGTGGTTTAATTGTACATGCTCATTTAAGTGCTTAAATTCATAATTTGACTAAAGTAGGAAAATCCGGTGATTTTATCAGAATATCATTTTAGAGGTTACTCTTACATCTGGTGCTCCTATAAGAGATTGAATGTGATAATAAACCATCCAACTGAGACTTTTATGCTTCAACTTCAGTCATTTTTTCTAGTACTTAGAGATGATCGAAGTCAATCAAGCAAGTTGTGACATGGATTATGTCCTGTACGACTTGACGTCGCGTGTTATATCTTGAGATTTTAAGTGGTTAGATGGGTTAGCTGGTTCGAATTCAGTAGGGAGTATCAGCTACATCAAGATAACAGGTACATCTTAGTGATAAGTACTAAACCGCCCGGAATTTGGATCTATGATTCCTGTTGACTACTTATAATCATCTGACACACGCTTAATGTTCGTGTTGAACAATTTCCATAGTACTTTAGAGAAGGAAATTTATATTTGTATTGTTATTTGGAATAGATTAATAAAACTGTAATGGGAAGAGTTATTCTTACACTTATTCTTTCTTTCGATGTTTAAATACGTTATTCTTTCTAAGTTCATAGTTGATTTGATTTTAATCGTTGCTATTTAAATTTTTCACAAATGAATGTCAAAGTTCGAGAAACGCTGAAAAATTGTTTTATTAAAATAATTAGAGTCGAGATACCGAGTTTTAGATGTATTTTTTTTGTAAACGAAAAAAAGTGGTTAATTTACCTGTGAACTATTCGGTATTGTAAAGCCAAGTGATACAAGACAAGCTCTAAAATCTAATGGATCTAATCGACGTGTTCTATGTTTATCGAAATGATTAAAACATCTACGACATTCTTCAATTTGTTGTTCTGTAACACCACGATAATCATTAGCTGTTATACGATTTTCAATTTCATTTTGACTGCGTTTTATATTAGTTTTCAATTGTTCCCATCCAACACGTAACGTTTCCATTGTATATCGTGTATGAGGATTATGTGTAATTAAAAATTCTTGTTGTTTCTATGATTCGAAAGAAAAATTAATAATAATTAAGCAAAAATAAATTACTAGTATAGGGGTTATGGAGATTATTAAGTTTTTGATTGAGATCATGAACCGATTGATGCTAGACCACCGCTGGAAACCTGAAACCACTGGGCGGCCGTTTCGTCCTATTGTGGGACTCCTCATCTGTGTGCACCCACGATTCCGCACCCTGTGGGATTCGAACCCAGGGCCTTCGATCTCGCGCGTGAACGCTTAACCCATTGGACCACTGGGCCGGCATCCAGTGGTGATAGTGTCTAACATCAACCAATCCACGAAATTGCGCGACCATTTTCCATTGTACTAAGGCAGATACCTGTCTCTACCCGACATGGACTAGCTCCACTGGTCACGGCTTCTCACTAGAACTCGGCAAATTCCCGCGAGCGGGATCGCGGACGCACACTGCTGAGGAGTCCCACAATCGGACGAAACGGCCTTCCAGTGCTTCCAGGTTTCTAAAGGTGGTCTAACATCAATCGGTTCATAACCTCAATCAAAAATAAATTGTTTATAAAATCAGTCATGATTGTTCCAGTTAATAAGAAAAAAAAAGAAACTGATAAACATTTTTCAGTTTCGTCCATGATATTCTAGCTTCAACTGACTCATGAATTCAATTATTAAAAACTTTTCAATCGGTTAAATCCTTCATCATTGATAAGTTGATAAACAATTTTGAAGTAAATGAACAAAAAGCTTGTTTATCACAAGAGAATTGATTGGTCTTATTTCTTAAAAAAATTGTCAGTGATAGGGTAATACAAGTTTTGATAAAAAATGTATATGCATCTTTGAATTGTCAATTAATTATTTGATGTCATGAATGATTGTTTGAAAGTTATGTTTCAGGAGTTTAGATTACAAATAGACTTGTCAGATTATACATTATAATCAAAAGTAGGACACTGATTAAAAACTATGTACTAGTTAGTTGTAAGTGACTATTTCATTTACATAATTCTCCCTTCCTAAATAAAGGAAATATAATATGAAATGAGAAAAGTTTTGACATCCTGTTAGAAAACACCTAATGTTTTTAATCAAATATCATCATATATTGAACTAGTTAACTTAAGGTGTAACGAAAAAAAGCAAGGATTTTTATAGTTCATTAAATATTAAATAGTTACAAAAAAGTTTCAATTTTTATCAAGATATCACTTGGTGATTGGTTGGAAGTTCTACACCAATATAATAATCATTGATGGTGTGTCACTGAAAATCCTGACAATAATCAGTTATGCTTTCTAGAAGACTTGAGTATTACAAATTGATTAATACATCTTGAGATACATTTTTGTAGATTTGACATAAAGGAAATCGAACTTAGGGTTTGTGGAATAACATAAATTTTCACGATACTTCGATAACCTTGAAATAAAACTTCGAATATCAATAATAATTTATTTATAGTATACAAATATTTTTGACGGGATTATGCGCTTGGTACTTGCTACTAAACTATCATAGATTTTTATTAGTAAATATAACAGAAATATCTTTAACTTTATACAGTTAAGTCCACTTAAATGTCAGAAGTCGACTAATCGTCTGACCATATGGTATAAGTGTGAGTAAATATCGGTGTCCACTTAAACCATTACTTCATCATTCTAAAAATTCGCAAAGTATAAGGATCAGTAGTCGAAAATAAGAACGTACAACAAATAGATGAGATGAGAAATGAAATCATTTTATTTTATCAATTTAAACCATACTTGATGGAGTTTTTCTAATTCAGTTATTGTTGATTTCCATCCTTCTAAATCTTCCTCAATTTTATTTAAGCGTTGTGATTGATCTTCTAGTGATAGTTTTTGATTTGTTATAATAGAATGTACTGTTTCCAGATTATGTTCTAAATATGGTCCAAACCGATTAGCTAATTGAGCGAATTGAGTATTGACTTTATCATTTTCTTGTTGCTTAATAAGTTCTTGATGTAATGCATCATCTCTTCCACTAATCAATGAATACATTGCATCCCATCTATTTTGTAATGTCTGTTTAATAAATGTAAATGAACAGAAAAACAAACATACAGTTAAAATCTAACATAGTAACATTAATAAATAAATTTATGTTAGTTCTAGCTAGTTGTTATCTTTTATATGAAAATGTATTTTGTATAGATTATTTAGTTTAAGATTTACGAAACAAATTGATATTATATAACGTTAATGTAGTGAGTTTTCCTATAGAGGGAATTTTACGTTTACTACCAGTGGCTTCAAATAGCCTCCAAATACTATCAATCAACAATAAATCGATATGTAAATGAATATGATTCCGAGAGTTCGTCAGGAAATGAATATCAATACCACAGTGAAGATAAAAAAAGACTTGTCAGTGTTCTGTATTATTCACTATGTTAATGATACAGTTGACAAATCAGGTAACGGTCAAACGATAAGCGTACGTTATTGCTCAAGAGTTGGCTTTTCTCGTAGCAACGAGATATACACTACTGGCTGAACATGTGGACTATATATATGAATGAATGAGTGTATGGATATTTCTAAATTCGGTTCAACCAACAAAGTTTCCTTTTCGCTCCCTATCCTCTCGTTCAAATAACCAGTTGGGATTGCACCTAGTAAGCTTGTACGTCAGTATCAAAACAGGATATCCCACAATACAACAATAAATCATCACTCGATCAAACAAAATAACCTTATCCATAACCTATTCCAATTACAAATGCACAAGAATAAGAGATGCAGAACGATAATATAATTCAATAGAAAGAGGTAAGAGATGTTAATTTAAATTTTCAGTGTTACAATTTTGTCAAACAATTCATATTCCCCCCTCTATTATATTACCTAGTTATCTATGCCTTTTTTTTCCTGCTTATCATATTATGAAAATATCTAACAAATAATATGTCAATATTGGATAGAAACAACATTTTTTATATACTAAAGAAAAGAATATCACCAGTTTATATCTAAAACAGTATGAAAGTTATTACTGTTTTTGAAAAAGAATTATTTTTTGTATTATTATTATTAATACTGAACAAAGTTTAGTGTTTTATTTAAATGTCAAAATTAAGTAAATCATTTTTACCTGTTTGATATAAACATTTTTTTTACAAAAATGATCATGTATACTACTTATGAAATTGGGGATTGGATATAAAAAATAAAGAGGAACACTTGTAAAATTTTGTCAGAGAATAAGTGTTTATTTTCAATAAATGTAAACAAATATTGAATAGATAATGAGTCATTCAAATGTCTGTTATATAGTATAAATGATTTCTAGTTAGTGATCATGTAGTTATATGTGTAGAAGGGGGGGATATAAATTGTCGGAAAAATTTAAAATAATATTCATTTACAACAGTTATACTGAGGGATTTGTATAGTATGGAAGGAATTGACAGTAAGATCTGATAGCCATTGGAAAATTAATGAAAATATAAGAGGCGTTAAACTATTGATTTTATTCACAGAACAATATTATACTTCGGAGAATAATTTGTAACTTTTAAACAAGGCTTGAAAGTTATTGGTTCAGTCATGTCTAAGGTCGTGGGTGTGAATTGTTTAAGAGTTTTAAATAAGATGAAATATTTGTCCAATACTCCTTTGGTTTTTAATTATTTTCCATTTGAATTTAGATATGGTTTTTAATTTGGTAATAATAGCCAAGAATATGAGAAAGTTTGGTTGGAAAAATTTCTAGAAAGAATGTTTAATTTAATTTAACCTAGTGTAGACTATTTAAGTTAAGAAAAATGTGTTATACATTCGCTTAGAATCAATTATAATAGTTGTTCACCGACACGAATAATAAGAAATGTCAATTTGAATAGAATTTCGAGATTCACGATTGTTCATTCATAAGTTTCTCAGTTAGCGATATTATTCAAAGCTGAAAACATAGTTCAGATGTGTATTTATCATTTGGCTGTTCCGCGGAAAAGACATATTAGTTAAAGATGCGTAAAGCACCTAATTATGTATATTCACAGACTTCTATTGTACAATAGTGAAATCTTGTTGACTATTCTCAGAAACGGCTAACGTTACATGCTGGAAATATTAGATATGACATAAGTCAGTATTGAAAACAGAGTTCAAAGATAATTTATTTATCTTTTATTTGTATTTTTTACGAATTTTATTCTCTAAATTGATGTAATGTGAAAATGTCAAACAGATGAACTATAATGATATGCAATTTCATTCATATGGTCACTAAACATGACTGTCGGATATTTTAGATGATCACTACTATAAAACTTGGTATATGAAGAGTTATTCATAGAATTAGCGTATAAAGAATTTTTTATCTGCTCTGAATTTGTGTTCGGTTTTTAGTTCCAGATCAAAAATTAAGTATGAGAATTTTAACCAAAGCAACGAAATGAATGTATGGAGGTGTTAAATAAACATTATCTACGATTTTATATCAGAATATTTTGGCACATACAAATATTAGCTTATAGCCAAGTACACATAAGTTAGCAATGCTTGGTGATTTTCATCTCTATCACTTTTGTTCAGAAATGATTAGAAAATGGAAAGGGAGACCAAACGTTGAGTTTTGATGACTTGTTTAAAAGAATATAAATTAAATCGATGTGAAATAGTTCGTTATGCATTCAACTCAAAGGCTAAATGTTAAGGACATTTAATTAAATCAACATAAACCTTTCATACAGTTTTTAGTTCTCTCGAGGAAGTGATCATGAAAGAAATAGTTATCGATCACACCATAATCTAATGATGATATTTATCTAAATCAAATGTCATAAAATTTTACCTATCCACTGAAATTTTCTTTTATCTGTCTACCTTGATTAAAATATAACAAATGATCCAACCAATTCAATAATTTTAACACAATTAGCTTGAAAATGTCTAAATAATCAATCACATCCACTATGTGGTCATTATTACATACATCAGAGATGTATTTAAATCTATATCTCAGTAACTTAGTTTTTGATTTGGCGATATGAAATTCAGTTTAATAATCTTCCCCATTGGTGTAGAGTTAGTTTTTTATCTTGAAATATTAGATACTTAGTACGACATGCCAAAAATCACCGTGTATTTTATTAATCTTTTCATAGTTGTATCCGAAATACTAGAAGACACACTGAAATGATATAAATTAATCTAATACTACAAACATTATTTTCAACTGCATTGTTTAAATCGATTTAATGAAATAAACTTTTTCATAAAAGGAGATTTAAAATTTCACTTGTTACCAATCCGACATTACTTGTTAAATCCATGAGAAAAACAAATTTCAAAATTCTTTAAATAGATCATAAGAAATTAATGAAATAGACAATTATCATAGTAAAAGTATTTATTTCCATCATGATGTTATAATTTAGTCAAGAATAAATTCCCAGTAAAAATGAATAAAAAACTTACAGAGCAATCAATCATGGTGTATGGATTTTTTAATAATTCTGATGATAAATTATGTGATTTAATCAGTTTTTTCACTTGTTCTACTTCTGTGATTATATCATTCAATTCTTTTTGTGCAGCTGGAAGAGTTTTCTTGAAATTTTCATGTCCATTAATAAGAGACTATTGTAGGAATAGATATATTAAAGTATTGGAAAAACAAAAACAAAATTAAAGATATTGAGTTATTGCATTTTTATTTTGTAAAATATGTCATGGTAAGAAAACATAATATCATTTAAAAATATCAATGATTGAGATCTGGAAAACACTGAAGAACGTTACAGCAATACGCACTCACAAACTCTTCAGGGATTTAAGATAAACTCGAGATGACGGAAAAGATTTGTAGCTCAGGTGGATGATTTCGATAGAGTTTTGCTGTCTGAGCTGGAGAACAAAATTCCATCAAAGTTAAACTCTTGAGGCCTCGTGGATGAAGTCGGTCTGTCACATAAATTACAAATTGAAAAAAACTTCATACATGTTCTACATTATTAAAGAGAGTAGTTTTTATCATAAATATTTTGATAACTATAGACTGTTGGAGAGTAATAAGTAAATGAATATTGACGATTACAATCCAGTGTCTAAAGCAAACAATATTTTCTCTAAAATGAGACATTCAAATTAACTATTTTGCTCATTGAATATGTGACTTTTTGTTAAATATCCGAAAAATAGTACCTTTGCACGAGAGTTCGCGATAATTATTGTTAACAATTAGACATACATTTTTATGTCTTTCTTTAATTATTAGACTACAATTGTCATGTCGTAAAACTAGAACGTTGTATCGATTGATATTTATCAATCATTTCTAATACATAGTTCTAAACTATAAGTGATTGATTCCAACTTTTACAAGTACTAGCAGTCTTCGTAGACGTTGTGTAGTGTGAATTCGATTCCGTAAAACGCTAAGAGCTTTCATATATATGAAAATATTACTAGCAAATCAGTGAGTACTTAAATATAGAAAATTTAGACAGAAGAATTCATGCTAGCTTCTAAAGATGATAGACATAAAAGCATTTTAAATAGTCTTATGATATTATCCTTTAAATATTAACCTAAATATCTTGAACAGCTGACTATACGTCTCCCAAGATCGACAGAATTCCAAATTCCTTACAATAGGCTGTACAGTAATTTTTTGTATAGGGACAATTATCTTATACAAATAGTAAAATGTCATAAGTAAGAAGTTTTTTCTGCTTTAGTGAAAAAGTACATCCAATGTAACATTCCATTCATAGTTGCACAGTCTGACAAAAAATAACATTGTTCACCAGCTTACTGATCGAACTAACAAGATACAGTGTAGGCAAAAATGAGACAAAAAACAATTTCATATTTTAAAAATGAACAAATCAGTTTTACATTACTAACAAAATTTCAACCGTCCTCTATAATTTATTTAATTATTGATTCGATTTGCAATTCCTACAAAAATTACCCCAATCGATCAATGAGTAGTGCGTGATTATTAATGCTTACGGAGCACTAGTTTTCAATTTTTCAATGTGATCTACTAAACTAAATTATTCGACTTTGCTTCATATAGATAAGCATTAAGAATTAGAAAATATGACATTAGTTATTAATGAGTGAGTGAATAATATAAACAGTTCAGTCTTACCGGAGGTCAGTAGAGATTTTAACAGTTTAGTAATAACGAGTAGTGTATCTCATGTTCTGCAATAAATTGGCAGTTATTATTATTATTATTTGTGTGCTATTCTCAACCCTTGTTCCTCAATGTTCTAATGGTATTAAAGTCTCAAGTTAAATTCCTAGAACTATAGTAAAATTCATAATATATAAAATTTAAGATAAAAATATGAATGTTTTCATTCGTGATTATGAGTAAAAATACCGAGTTTCAAGGGATAACCTTTAAATAACAGAAACAAAAAAGAAAAATACGAAACTTGGATAGCTGTCCATTATTCATATAATTCGTAAACGTGTAAAAGGAATCAATAAAAAGTTAAATCTTCCAGTGTTTTTATATAGATCTTACTGTAAACTTTTTATCGATCTATTAGTTACCACAACATAATGTAATTAGAATAGTCTGGGCAACAGAATCTAAATAGTTGATCAAAATTGCTGAGTTGTTATTAAATTATCATTTTATATTAAAGCATACTTCAGAATTATAAACTTACGATGTTTATGTTATCGTCAAAAAACACAACACAGACATTCAAAATAGTCTAGTTATGAAAAAAGATAATTAATTGAAAAAAAACATGAATATTTGGTTTCCTTCTCTCCTTACCATTACATCTTCAACTTTATTCACAATAAACATATCTTGAAGATCTTCATGCACTTGTTCTAACCAATTATTAAAAGGCTAAATAGAAAAAAGTTAGAAGAGATAAACATAGCAGAAAAAAATCTAGAAGTTAAATTTCTATCCAATTTTGATTAAAACATGTGGGATAAGTATGTCGAGTCATGGACAGAAAATGACATTTGAATGTATCAATATGCATATGTAATTTATAAAGTGATCGATTTGTTTTTAGTTTTTGCTTATCCTTGGTTGAGCATAATGGAACAGCGAAATGAACAATCCAGATGTTCACTGTCGGGTACTAAGCAGATTTGGTGAATCCGTTGATAAAACGGTGAAACTTAGTCGACTGAAGTGACTGGGAAGTGTATTACTTATCGACGACTAGCATCTATTTAGACGTGCAATATTGTTTGCAGTAGAGGTAGGGCAGAACAAAGTTATGAGCCGTCAAACAATAACGCGGAATCAATCCACAAAATCATTGACTTCTGGTTCGAGCCATAGTAGTAGTTGTACACTATCTGGTCGGGATCTAGGTAATAATTGCGATCAGCGATAGGGGAATTTGAGTGGAACGATTCAGAATAGTTCACAGTGACACAGATGAACTTGCCATTTACTTTATTCTAAATCTTGAGTTCCAGTATTGTCTCATACATACCTTTTTATTCTTTCTTCTCAAACCATGTTTTCAATACTTGGCTTTTCTTGTTACCGTTTCAATTACAACTATTTCTGCTCCTTTAGTATCCGAATTGTCAGTGTGATTTCTCTGTATTGTAGTCTGGCATTTTAGGCCATTTACGACTCTACGTTATGATGAACTAGTTTGGTAATTAAAACTTACAAAGTAAACAAACTAACTAAAGTTATTTAATTCAAATTAGAGTATTTTGTAATGGTATAAAACAAATAAATTGAAAAATGACACAACTAAAGTGTAACAAATAGATGACGAGTAATAAACCAGTTGTGAGATTTAGAAGAATATAGAGGTTTTCAGTTGAGATCGATTGGGTAAATACCGGAGTTTAAATGGTAAACGTCAACGGAATTTAAACAATTTTGTAAATGAATAGGGTGAATGAAAGAAATTTTATGTAGAATTCCAATTTAGCTATTTTTATATTAATATAGGGTTGTGTCGATTGTTGAGTTTTAATTGAGATCACGAACCGATCAATGTTAGACCACCATTGAAAACTTGGGAGCACTGAACGGCTGTTGTGTCCTAGCATAGGACTCATCATATATTGACAAATCTGTAAAATTGTCATGAAATAATATTTATAGTCGAAATATCTAGTTGTGACACTACATTTAACCATTAAAGATTTCAGACTGTTAAAAACTAATTTTATTGAACATCATTGAAACATGTTATAGAGTACTGGAATTATGTTTCATTTTGTTTTGAAGTCTATACTTTCTCATGATATCTTCTACGTATGAAGTTAGCAACGTAGGGATTAATATCAAGCGGATTAACTTTCATAATAGGGAAATGCTTAAAACTTTTAAAACACTGTTTTATGCCGTAAATCGGTCTTAGCAAGCTTAAATAAGCTTATGCAGAATTCACACTGATTGATCACTAAGTGGCAGTTAATATCATGTTTGTCTGGACCTCAGTGCTGATTGAATTTCAGCAAACAAGTTGCGATGTGGCCAGCACTTTAATTGGTTGAATATTTCTTCCATTATGTTCCGACGTCATGTAACTTGAGGTGATCATTATGAAGTGTTAGACATCAGTGATCAATCATCATGGGCACCTTAGCACAAAAGCAAGTCATTCGGTCAGTGGTGGGGCCAAATACTGTGAAATTAGATGACGTTGGTTTGAATTTAACAACGAGCATAAATTATCTAAAGAATATAGGAACCTCTTGCCGACGAGTGTAAAGTAGTATAAAACATAGGTCTACGTTTTCTTACCGATTGTCTCTTCAAAGTAGATAATATTCATGCTGTTTGGATCTAGAAAGTTAGATGTTTTTAGATAATGTAATATATGAAACTTGAAATATCCTAGTTGTTTACCATTTTGTCTACAACGGATTCATTTCTTTATTCAACTAAATAATAAATATCTTAACGCCCAAGTCAATATATAAACAGATATTTTTTCAAAGTATAGATTGAAATTATGTCAATTATTAAAATCCAATAAAAAGAGAAATGGTAAATAACAAATAAATCATTCAAATGAAAATATATCTATATCAAACACATGATAGCTAGAAAGATGGATGTAAACGATCAAAGTTGCCAAGTAAACATTTATGATGACATAAAATTAATTTGTACAAATGTAGTTAGTTATTTTGTGGGAATACTTTTAATTAGAAAATACTAAATAAAGTACAATCAACTTTATATGGGTGAATAGTTAAATTATTTTCTGAAAACTAGAGAAAAATTAACCAGTTTACTATCACCTATAAACTGTCAGATTAAGTAAAATACTCCTTTAATGGAGAGAATATTTACGAAATTCTATCAGAAAGGTTTAAATCAACGATATATGCAGTTTAAGCAACGTCTTCAATATTAAAGTCTTATCATTGTGAAAATAAAATAAAAAAGCTATTGAATCATGTTAAAGACACATATCTTTTGATAATATTTAGTTTTTTGGAGCTCAACGGTTTAATTGCAAAACTGTCATTCACTATCTACGCAAAATCAATAGTGTTTAACCTCCAATGAAGTAAACTCTCAGAGAACTCAACATTAGCTAAAACACCGGCCTGAACTATAAATATTAATTTTAAGAAAGTTATGTTTCACATCAAAGGATTAGGGGTTTGTGGTCGGTATGACAGCTGATTTCAATTAGCGTCGATCCAGTACAGTACAATAGTGGTCTATTCAATGAGTACAGGAACTGACCAACTGAGGTTTCTAGTGGAGCCAATATTTCTAAGCAACACCTGAAGTATTAAGGGCTGTTTTTAGCGATAGCACATTAAAGAAAACATCTCTATTTAACAAGTATATGTCTCAGTGAGGACCATGAAGGGTGAAAGGATAGAAGGGCAATCAACCTCCTGTGCTGATAAAAAATCATCAGATATGAGAAGTTGCTTGAGATTTTTAAACCACTTAGTCACTGCGTGGCTGATTATTTGAATATATGTATCGAAAAAAAAGAAAAGCTAAAGTAGCTGAGTAGCATGGTTTGGAAGACATTCAAGGATGTTTAACGGATAGAAACAGAGTTTGAGCAAATGTAACTTCCTAAATCTTTTGAGTGTGTTGAAGATGTCAAGATTGATGTACGCTGAATTTTGTCAAATACAGTTGTTTTTACTTCAGGTCTCGAAGTTATAACTTAGAAAACTACAAGTCTTTAATAACGAAAACACGATAATTAACAGTCATTAAAATGTTTTACTTCAGTATTTTATGATTGTATAACACATAGCTTAAACGTTATTTTCAGTAATGAACATCAAGAAGGTGAAAAAGGAAAAGAAACGTACCGCTATGCGTTTGGCAATTGATAAATGCAAATGATCAATTTGATTAAGCAAATCCAAGATGCCCTAAGAAAAGTACATAAAATGGTTAAATATTTCGTCCAAACACACAGAATAATTATTCAACAAAAAAAATGTACTAAAAAATTTTTAAAAGTAATTAAAAACTATGATAAAAGTAATTTGAACTCGGGATAGATGTCCCGACTCTTTGAAGCCTAGTTCATTTATAGTCGGTTTGAGTAGATTCATGAGCTTAATAATATTGAAAGTATATTTATACATGTCTAAAACCTAGATATCCCAACTCGTTATGTTGGCTGGGATAAGAGTATGTTGGAAAAAGCTAGGGACATCCAAACAAATATGTGGAATCAGACTATAAAGTTATTTATTGTTAGACTGTCTTTGAAAAATTCAGATTTCCTTATAGGTGCCGGTGTAATAATCGTAATCCATGACATATTTCATGATTGTTTTTAATGATTCAGTTGTATTCATAGTTCATTTTCTCCGAAATTCTTATATTAATACTATTTCATATTTTGGAACTATATTTCTTAGGTTTATATTTTCACCGGAATACATATTACTACTTTCTTTTATCTTGTTAATTTCTTCACTAGTTTTGTTAACTCAGGGCCAAGTAAATTGAACTATCACACGTTTGTCCCATGTCTGATTAATTGAAAGAATTAAGTTTGATGAACTTAAGAATTTGTTGTTATTAATTACTAGAATGTATAAAGTTTTGATCATTATGTTGGAAACTAATGTAGAGAGTTTGTGGAAAATGTTGAATTTTATAGCTTACATCACAGACTAACTTTAGTTAAAAAACCATTGAAAACCAGAAAGTACTGGAAAGATGTTTCATCCTAGAAGAGGAATCTTTCGCAGCGTGAAACCACGATTATATAAAAGATCATTGAGCATTTTATTATGATTGTATATAACAACACTTTTTATACATAAGTATTAAATGAAATACCGCATATGGAAACACAAAAAATTATGTCCTCTTGTTAGCTGGAAAGAGTCAACTTTTCGTGTGTTATATTATTAACGAAATAGATACTTTAAACTAGGATATAAACCATTTTTGATAACAAGAAACTCCCAAGAAGTACTCAGAAAGTAATAACATGAGCAGATTATTTGTTGGAATAAGCAACATATTTGATGATGAACTGACTTTGATTAATTTATTAGTCGCTGAAAATTTTCTTATCACAAAAAATAGAAAATCGATCATCAAATCTCAAGTCTAATCCTGATACTTCACAGTGACAATAAACTTACAACTACAGTAACAGACAATCAAGCGGGTTTATTTAAAGTAGATTGACCAATACATGTAAATTATTATTGTAATATTTACATATAATTGGCGTACTTTTGAACTGTCCTATAATATACAGTGAATACAACATTATTTTCAATATCAATATAAAAAGAAAAAAATACAACAGCGTGGTTGGTATTTATTATATTGATAAGAAGAGAGTGAATTCCGAAATTAATTTTTTTGAAAATTTACATTCAGAAAAATCATTATTTCTCAGAAAAAGATGATAGAAACAGATATTGAAATAAATTAATTGACATGTATATTACAATCGAAAATGTGAAAAGGGAAAGAAATAATTATTTTTGACAGAAATACTTTTTATTCTTAGATGTGTGAGGCAAATATGATTTTATTTTTACCCATACTATCTCTTCTTTCAAGAAATACCTAACACTTAGATGAAGTATACTTATATACATGTGGTTATCCTGAAGTATAAGAAAATATATTTATGTGTTTGTGTATGTGTAGGTGCGTGTAACGTTTTATCGTCTGAACTTCCCGATTGATTAGCAAATATAAGTATGTGTGAAAAAAGTATCTATCTATGTTTAGATAAGTGAATTCACCAAAAATGTACTAATCAGCATGCTTGCTAAAGTGATATTGAGATTAAAGAAATAACTTATAGCTTTGTCTATCTCTAATGAACAATCTTTAATGAATACATGTAACTGAATTTAATTAAATATTACACATTCATTTTATGTTGCTTTCACAAAATAAAATGTGTAATATGTACAGCATAGATAAATATTAAAAACAATTTGGTAGAGGAATGAAACTTCCCTCCTACGACTTATAATTACACAATCTGAAGACACCATGAAAACAGTCATGGTTAAGATTATAAATTTCTGTGAATTGATATTCTTATGAGTTCAGAAAACCGAAAAGATCCATGGTTGATATAGTAATTTAAGCTAAATGATGGAGTGAAATAAATAAAATTGTTAAACCCCATGTGGATGGTGAAATACGCGTTGAAGAGGTTTATTCACAGGTATTTTAGCCGAAGGCTAATTTGTGCTGCTGTTAATAAGACTTATTCTATAATAAGAAGACTCATAAGTCAACTGGATGATAGATATCAGAGGATGGGAAATGTCAATTTTCTAATTTTTCAAAATCGTGTTTAGCATCATTTCACTAAGGCTAAAGAGTAACAACGCGGATACAAAAAGTAAATAGAGAATTTTCAGAAAGCTAGCTTTATATTAAGTATTCTAAATAACTGAGTAAATTACACTGGGATGTATTAAATTAATCACATTAGAGAAGTATTAAAATTATATTTTAATGTTCTTTATCTGGTTAGGTTATATCAATGTTTCTGAATAAAAGATGTCACAAAATCTGTCTGCAACATTTTGACAAGTCGATAAGAAGATGAAAGTAAATCAGTAATAACTCTTCAGAAGCTTTCACAAAACTTCGTGAGTAAACACAAAGAGCTATCATCAGCGTGATATAAATTTTGAGGACTCTTTTAAAAAACACAACTAATATGAATCTCTATCTGCAGATTCACATATCGTTTATCAGGGAATAAATATAGCTTAATTGCAATGGTATTATTTCAAAATCCAGAACAAGTCACTATCTGATTGATTAGGCAGAATCCGCTTTATCTGGGCTGTATTTATATGCTAGATATACATGAACCCTAAGGTTATGGTGAGGTGGGATGACAGTCTGTTTTAAAAAGTTTGGTGGAGCTGTCACTGACTACTGTAGCTTGGTTAGTATCGTAATTTGATCAATTAATTATCTTAAACCATAATTCTCTAAAAAGATTAAAAATCAATTAATCAAGATGCAATACTTAACTTTGATTAAGTTTGCTCGATCTTTTTAAACGTATTCAGTGACAGAGTAGCTTTCACATTCACCCTGACGGAAAATGAGGAAACAGGTTGCAGTAAATTCGGAGCGAGCGATCATCGATGTTATTCCATCACGTTGGGATTCAACAGACATCCCGAAAAGCATTTTTCAGTTTCTGTTTTGTTTATAATTGATTAACTGTTGGTATTTATTACAAAGCTAGAATGAAGTATGTTAATAAATGTGGACAAAGTTCAACTTATTGTAAACTACCAGAAGCTGCAGACAAATTGCACTCAGAAACTTAGTAATTGACATTAGAAATAACAGGATATCAGATGCCTGTTCGAATTGTGCGTTCAATGCCATGAATACTTCTTTTTTAAATTAGTTTCAATTAATTATTTATCTTTGTCAGCCATGTGTATTTTCATACTATGATAAAGTGCTTATAACTTATTGTAACTTTGATTACTCTGAAACTCATGAAGTACCACTAGAGTAGTTCTCATAATTTCTCACTTATCTGTTCCTTCTAAAAATGAAGGGTAATTATCATGGAATTTGTGCATCAAATGTTTTCGGCAACGGGAAAAGATGTCATGGGAACAGGACTGATAGTGAGCACTTGCAGATGAATATAAATGACAACTAAGCGCCATTTAAAAACTCTATACATGATTTTTCTGACTAATTACAAGTTAACTGATTATAAAAAAAAAGTTTCGTTGCACATTCTATGCTGGCAATTCTGTACTATAATCAAACATATAATATTGAACAAAGCAAGTATTATTATCATCGTTGGATTTCTGTTTGAACAAATTCCGATTAAAAAAATTAATCGGATAAAATATTAGTACCTAAGCCGTTGATATGAAGTGAAAATACGAAAATTTTATAAAATTAGATCAATTCCATTTATATATCTCTGAGAAAAACAAATTTTATATCACTTAGATTTCAAATTAAACTGTAACACGTAAATACTAGATGAGAGGTTACATATACATCAATCATACAAACTGCTTATTATATATACATTAAGAAAATAGGTTAAATATTGTTAATTTTATTTACCTGAATCTTATGCTTCCGGATTTCTGATAATCGTCCCAAATTATCCCATTGTTCTACAATATTTTGAGTACGTTCATTCACGGACTGAACTTTATCATAATTCAATTGACTTTATATTCGTACATAATGTTAAGAAAGAGAAAACAAGGAGAAATAAATTAGAATGAACTTGCGACGATGATGAAATAAAATGTCAGACAAATGTAACTATGATTATATAATTCAATACGAAATAACTGTTACATGGGACATTAGTAACAGGTTCATAATCCTTAATGTTATTCTAACATTATAATGTTATTGAAATAATCAACAATTTTTATAAGTCTTATTAGTTTTAATTTCCCTTTTTATTGATATCTAATATTGAAAAGGTCTTAAACAGACCATACGAAGGCTATTGGGATGAATTACGATATCAATTTAAAGAAATCTCTTTCAAGATTATGTCAATATTAATCAGATATGTAATGAGTGAGATAAATCAAGTTTATTGTGTCAGTGGAACGGATTCGCTTGGTCCTAGATGATAAAGAGTGGATCAATTTCCTCTTTCTACTCAGTGGGACCGAACTATGGAAATTATTATGAAAATGATCTCATTAGATGTCACTTCTCTTTTTACAAATGTTCGTCTTACAGAAACTGTTTGCTTTTTATGTGACTATATTCAAAACAGCAACCTTATTATGTGTATCCCAAAATATTATCTAAAATAATTACTTCTACGATGTACGCTCAACGTACAATTTAGATTTAATGATGATTTCTATAGACAAACAGACGGAGTTGCAATGGGTTCTCCATAGGATCCTCTCTTGGCTGATTGTTTCATGGCTAATCTAGAAAATTTTATACTTCGACCAATAATTGAGAGGTTTCATTTATATAAGAGATATATGGATGATACTTTCATTATTTGTGAAGAAGTCACGGACTTCAATGGAATTTTCAATAGTTTCAATAATGGTCACTCCTCAATTCAATTCACCTTAGAAGCAGAGGCAAACAATGATTTCCATTTTCTTGATGTTCGATTGAAGAGAATGGCGGATGGTTTTTTGAAGAGACCTATATATAAAAAACCTACCTGGAATGGACATTAAACGAATTTTCATAGTTGGGTCCCACTGAGTACAAAGAGAAACTTAATCCACCCTTTATCCTATAGGATCAAGCGAATCTGTTCCACTGACACAATAAATGAGTAACTATTTCAACTTCGACAGACTCTCATTAGAAACGGTTATCCACCTGGACTTCATCATGAAAAAGCATCGACAGTACAGAAGAAAATGTTGTTTATGAATATGGAGTTTAAAGAAGACACGGCTTCTGAAATCTTAAATAAACGGACTTCAAAATCGTTGAATAAAACGTTCTACGTAGCTAAGCTCAAGCCGGCCTACCATTCTTGGATGTGTTAAGGATAAACTTCCGCTTTGGGCTACATGAATGTGTATCTATAAATTTACTTGCTAATGTGGGGCATGGTGCATATGCTGCACAAAGTGATCAATATCCCAACGCACCTCAGAACACTATTTGGCTTTGCTTTTAAAAGATGAATGCAAAACAATTACTAGTTTTATACAGGAGCATTTAATCAATTGTGGACACAGCGCTCCAAAGGATTCTTTTAAAATAATCTATAAAGTCAAAGGAATTGGATCGAAGGGTTGTCGAATCAATATTTTATGCACTGTTGAGGAATTGACAATTCAAGAACTCAAGCCCGAACTTTGGGTGCACAAAAGATTCGTCCAACCTCTCATCCTTCCTTGGCCCTAATTCCCTTAATGGGTATGTTTCTGGGCTGTTTCTTCTTTCTTTCTGCACTTTTATTTGACTATTATTGAATTTTTGATTTCAATTTTAAACTCTAATCAGTTATTATTATTATTACCTTATACAAGTTTTCTCGATTATTATGACCTTTATGTTTGTCGTTTTTTCTTCATATCTGTCAATTAGACAATTATCTGACACGTAAATTATTTTCTTCCTTACCTCTTGATTAGTACGTAACCTCATTTTTATTTAGTCTCGAATCACTTTATGATGCAATCTCTTCTTTCCTCCTATAGACAGGATTGGGCTGCATCGACACCCGAACTAATGATAGGGAGTGAAGTAGTTGAGCGTGTCGACCGCTTCACTTATCTTGGAAGTCTCATCAGCCCTTGTGGTCTGGTGCGTGACGAAATCTCAGCATGGATACAGAAGGCTCAACTAGCTCTTGCCAACTTGTGTCATTTATGGCGTAGGCGAGATATCCGTCTATCAACCAAAGGACGTGTTTACTGCGCAGCGGTTCGTACCGTCCTACTTTATGACAGTGAAACATGGCCGGTAAGAGTAGAGGATATTCGTAGGTTACTAGCATTCAATCAGAGGTGTCTTCGAATCATTGCTCTTATGTCCTGGAACTACCGAGTAAGTAACGCAGCTGTTAGGAAACGAGTACTAGGTAAGGATGGCAAATCGATTGATGAAGTGGTGAAACTTCATCAGTTGAGATGGCTGGGACACGTGTTACGTATGCCCAACTACCGAATGCCTCGACGTGCGATGTCCAGTGGTATAGGAGTAGGTTGGAAGAAAGCTAGGGGCGGCCAGACCGAAACATGGCACAAGTCCATGAAGTCACTGTCAAGTGGACTGAGTCATGTTGGTAGGTGTAGAGTACGTGGTTGGGGACCGCGAGATGATAGCAACCGATGGTTAGAGACCCTGAATGACATGGCTCAAAATCGTTTGCAATGGCGCAAGTGCATACACTCTTTGTGTTCTCTCAAATCCTAATCTCCTGATTCCTCCTTGTCTCTTTTTTCTCTTCCCAAATTTATTTCACTGTATTATACTCTTTAAATAACATCTCCAAACCGTAATCTTCCCTATTAATGCTTATACTCTTATTACCTCTACCAGTACGGGATTTGAATCGACAACTGGATCTCTGTGCTAATGTGGTATGGCAACTCGAACTGATGTACGTACGTACGAAGTTCTACGTTGTTACTGACTGACTGACTGATAGACATATATTTTCCGTATAACCATACATATACGAATGTACAACTTAAGTAAATAATTTCATCGAAAAGAAAATTTTCTTTGCTGGTTTCTCTTTTTCTTATTCAATGACAGTTTGTAACGTGATTAGAAATTAGGATGGTTAATCATGAGATAAATTTAGAAAACGTTCATATTAATAGCCTTAATATTAGAAATAAAATTATATCTGTATCTTGAATGTTGAAATTTCCGGATTTCACTTGTTCATATTGTCTAGGTTTCCTTAAGAAAATAATCAGAATCAAAATAAGGTCACAAACCAAATATAAATTAAACCATCATCCAATCATATTAAGATGTTAAATATGGTTTCACAATAAGTCCTTCAATGTGAAATGCGCTTAAATTTAAATATGTGAAGTTATCTGCAGCTACCTGTTCAAATTTTGATACAACTTGTTATGTATAAATTTGAACTGAAAAATTAAACGATAACTTTCTGTAAGTTTTACTTGATGAAACCATCTTCAAGTGCACAATTTTCATGTCTTGCCATAAAATTGAATACTCTACAAACCTATAATTTCCGTTGCAAACTTATCATTTAAAAATATGAAGCTAACAAACCAACTATTTATATAAATAAATAATATATTTGTAATATCCCAATGAGTGGAAAAACTAGATTTTCTGACGTTTCGTGACTTAGTGTAAGCCACTTCTTCAAAGAAGAAGTCAAACCTTGGTAATGACAACTACAACTATTTATAGTCAATACGCGGGACACTACGAAGTTAGTATGATTGGAATTTTCATTTATAATTTAGTCAGAGTTTATCTCATTATTATCACTGATTGATTACTTATTAACCTATCTAAGTGATTAATTTGTTTTAAGGCCTCGCATTCTCGAGTATTCTGTGGATGATTTGTGTTTTCTATGCAATTACCAGCTTGTTATCGTTCTTGAATGTAGAAATTTACAACTATCCACACAAACCACATATCTAAGAATTCATTTAAGCGATTCATGCTTGATCATGGTAAGTATGTTGTTTACTGAAGTACAATAATTTGTATTTTTAATTATTATAAACAAGGTTTAGGGGATTTTAGTGTTCTGTAATGGAATCTAGTGGGCAAAGAAGTAAAAGCCCCCAGTGAAAATACTAGAAAATGAATTGTCGTAAATTCAATAGAAATTATACAGGCAACAGAGAGGAAATATGTCGTCTACACATATACTGTCTACTAAGTCAACTTTTATAATAAAAAATTTCGTAGCTCGACACCTGGTTTTATAATTCAGTCAAGCTAACTAAACATACATAACGTTATAAACAAAAGTGGAAACTTTCAAACCAGTCCAAATAGAAGTACTCCACTCTTTTAACTTGACTATGGGTTTACGTAACACAATACACCAATTATAAAAAAGCCGATTAACAACAAGTGCCCTGATGATGTGATATGTCAAAAAGTGAAAGGTAATAAATAACCCTATGCATATATATGTAACGTGTTCAATCTAAAGGTTATCTAATCGCTGTTGACAATAAACTATAGTTGTCTTCACCATGATATATATGGCAGCAAAATATTGAAATAAGGATAGACCTTGAACTATAATGTTTGTGTGAGGACTACTGATATCGTCGGGTTACAAATGTATAAGTATTATTTTAACGACAATTTATTAGAGGTCTATGTATTTTAGTGAAAAATAAATTATATTCCACAAACTATCGAATAATGTACAGTTTCCAAGGAATAAAATACTAAGACATGTATTTTGTCATATTTCCTCTCCCACTATAAAATGCACAATTATTTTTTCAACTGACTAAACTAAAAAAGTGCAGTGCATTACAAATAATTCATTGAAATCATATGATATCCACTAAATATCATCATTATTTAACATTTATGAATATACGAATGACTTAACTAATAATATTCAACAACCCCTCTGTTTAATGTGTACAGGAAAAGAAAAGAAAAATAAATGTGAGTTTTCCGTCAGTAAACTTACACAGATGAATTGTGTGATTTATTGTGAATGAATAAATTATTTACACTCCAAGGAAAACAAAATACAAAAAGTACAACTAATAACTATCCTGATTTAACACATGAAAGTAATTAAAATTTATAAACTTTCCGTAAAACCAGAACAAGCCAGAACAACAATATACATTGGTTAAAATGTGGTGATTTTACAAAGAATTTAAATAAGAGACCTTTAGTATTATTGCTGTGCGTCTACTAGTGCTGATTAATTAAAAATGAAACAATCAGTGAATTCCGGTTTGGGCGCTCAAGTATGATAAAATCGTTTCGATTCTAACTTATCGACACTATCTAACGCTTGTGAAAGACTCGAACATGATTAGTACACTTTGTGATAGATTGTTACGTACTAGAAATTTTCTCCACTCTTTACTAAACAAATATGTTGTACATTGTTGAAATGTATTATCAGAGAAGCCTACCAATGAGAATGTTAGTTTAATCACTGGGATGGGGAATGCCCTTGTAACTTAAATAACAATGAATTTCTAAATTTAGTGTTGTATTCAACAAGCAAAGATGTGGTTGAAACATACAAGTGGGCAGAATAATGATATAGTTGGAGGTTTATTTTGTAAATAAATTAAATAAACTGAAACAGGTTAAAAACACACAACATAATAATGTGTACAGGTTAGTTCATTTTGAAGATGATTTGAGGAACAATTTGCTTATAGAGTCCAAGTTATCTAGGTTTTTATGATTATATCTCAATACTTTCTTCAAAAAATAATCTGTGACATTTCTCTAATTCATATTAACTTAGTAAACTTGAACTCTGCCCTTAGCTTTTCTAGGGCTACTGCCCGTCCCTGGGATCGGCAACCCCATTCTGTAAAAAACAACCTTGCTAAAAAAAACGCTAACCAGAACAAACAATTTTAAACATTTAATCTCTGTCCTGGAAGTTGAAGGAAAAATTATCACGCCTCAAGATGAAAGCCGAGACTCTTCGAAAGTTGTAAGGCCCTATCCCCTTCTAAAAACCAGGGTAACAATTATTATAGGTACATGGGAAGTCCGGACAATGTGGGAGGCCAAGAGAACCAGTCAAATAGCTACGGAAATGATGAGATACAACTTGGCGGTTGTCGGAATCAGCGAAACCCTTTGGACCCAAGCTGGACAGCTAATGTTAGGTACGAGAGAGATGCTGCTGTGCTGCGGTCACGAAGAGGAAAACGCTACACACACTCAGGTAGTTGCATTGATGCTGCCCAAGGAAGAACAAAAAGCACTTATTGGATGGAAATGTCATGGATTTAGAATCATCAAAGCATCATTCGAAACGAAGAAGGAGGGAATTATAATGATTGTTATCCGATGTTATGCACCCACCAATGATAGCAACGACAACATTAAAGATCAATTCTATGAGAGGCTGCAATCAATCATAGATAAGTGCCCAAGAAACGACCTCACCATCCTGATGGGAGATCCAAACGCCAAAGTCGGAATGGACAACAACGGATATGAAGATATCACGGGACGACATGGACTGACTGGGAGAAAGGAACGAGAATGGCGAGAGATTTCCAAGTTTATATGCATTCGACAAAATGGTAATATGCAGCACAATATTCCCACGCAAACGCATGCACAAAGCTACATGAATCTCACCGGACCACACTACGGAGAACCAGATAGATCATATAATAAAGCTAAAAATAAGCTAAACTCTAATATCATATCATTATATTGAGTTAAATTATATTTTAGAATTTAACATTGTATATTGTTTCTGGGATACGTCATGTGATTTTGATACTGACCATGATACCGTATCATATCATTAACCGTGTTAATGAATTAAAGTGGGTATTTATGTTAAAATAAGGGTTTTTTATACCAACCTCATGATGTCGTTAGGCATTAAAATGAAATATTATTTGGTGATGTATAGTGACTAAACCAGGATGAAAGTAACTCGTATTAATTCACATATCGATAAACAACGCTCTATTATTTCAAGCTAAGAGTTGTATTATATACATTAGGGTACATTATAACGTAAAAATATAATGTTGATGATAAAGGTTCTTAATAAAACAAAACTATAATAAAAACCTATTAAAATGACCAATTACTTACTTCAGTTCTTCAGCTATAGCCACAATACGTTCCACTCGATTTTGATGAGCACCCAAATCCCCTTCAAATGAAGCATGTTTTTGTGCTAAAGCACGCAAAGCCGATAAACTAGCCCCTTCATAGTCTTCTAACGAAAGTGCATTTGCTTTTCCATCTGCCCATGCTTCATGAGTTAAACATTTTAAACGAAATTTTTTCGCCAAATATTCGATTTGTTCAAGTCGTTTAATTTCAGCAACTAACCAATCCTATAACACAAATAATAAATAGAATTTCAATAAAGTTTAAAAATAATAAACTTAATAACATATCGTTCTTAATCATATCAATAAAAATACATATTATAAATATTAAAAAGAGTGAATGGTTATTGTACATCAATTCGCATATTTAACTCCACACATGATTGGACCGGTAATCAGAACCGCCTGGTTTTTAATTATACTTGATAATAAAAATTTTCTACTTCGGGTTTGTTTATAAATCGTTGTCTATAATGATATATATATAATCGTACAATGATGTAATGTAATGTAATGAATTGCCACAGTTGTATAACTATTTAGAACACGAAAAAAGCTATGAACCAATAGTTAATCACGAATTCTAATAGAATGAATAGTTTTATATTGAACAGCAAATCATGAGAGATTAAAATGACTCAAATCCATTTAATATACAAATGATCGCTATGAATAATCAACTGAAATTCACTAGGCAACCTTATTACAAATCTGTTATCTGATTGTCATGTCAGTTTTTCATGATTATATGGTAATTCCTACAACATTTTAACAATAACTGATGAATTCTCGAAATTCTGTACAGTTCGAGTCCGTTCAACGGTGAACACATTCAACGTCATTTAGGGCTGAAACTTATAGAAAATTACAAATATTCACCCGACATTGTTTTCAGCGTATCTAAATGTCGGATGGTTCTGGAATTAAAAAACAACAGAAACACCAGTACATTAAATGTGTCTAGATGTTAAGTTACAGAAATATTCATCACTTTTAGTGCATGGCAATCAATCTTTTTTAAAAAGTCTACATAGTACATCTATACAGAATATAGTATTTATAAACACTAGTACCATAAAACCTATCAAACTTGTCTGTTAATATTTCTTATAAACAAAGGTTGTATAAATTATGTGTTTTGTTCATAAATAATATTTATTATATATTTATTTAAACGAAGAAGACTGGGAATATGAATAAATTCGGAAAAAAACCGCTCCCCAAGATAATTTTTTACACATAAACAGTCCTACATAATGAATGAAAATGTCTCTTCGTTGTTCAGCTGGGTTTGGAAAAACTGTGGTCTATAATCAACAGTTTTTCCATTATGGAAAGAAAACATCACTGAACCTAGACAAAAAATAACTAGGAAGTCAGTAAAATTAGCAAACCAGACAAACATTACAATGAATAAACATCGAAAAATGCGCAAAATAAATGCAAAATGGCTACAGAGAACAGTAGTTAAGCTTAATTTTTATGGATACATGAAATATGATGGAACATTTTAAATTGTACTATGTATCCATACCATACTTCGAAACACTAACACAATCATTTAAATTTCATATGAAATATAGGTTAGAAACTAAATATTTGCGTATCAGATATTTAAGAGGGATCGGCAGGCTGCCTGAAGGCAAGTTTCAAGTTTCTGAAAGTTATCAGATATGTGTGCGGTTAACATGTGTTGGAAACTTAAACTCGCGTCGTTTATGTTTGAGCTGAATGCTCTATAGAATTTTAGTGCTGGAAAACTTTTGTCAAATTGAAGTAATCAAGTATCAAACATTTAACACATGAAATAACGATGGAAGTTGTTAGAGAAGTAGAATATTCCTAGAAATGTTATTTAAACTGTTTCGTTTGTGTGTAAACTTTAAGTTACACTTTACGGATCGTCGTGTTGAAATCAGAAATTTCCACCAATGCCAATGATTAAGTGGAACAGAATCTTAAGTTATTTTCAGTTTAGTAGCACGTGGTATGTGTTGTAAATTTTGGCACACAAGAGACTAACGGCAACAAGTGTAAAAACGATGTCATAATGAACTAACAAACGTCAAGATATTGAAAAGAACTAAAGTAAATCAATGTTTATGAGGACATCTTTGAAAATGAAGTCAAAGTTGATTGGCTTATTTTCAGTGCATTTCGCAAGTTATTGCAAGGTGTCATAGATTGATTGGTTTGTACTTCTTTCAATGACTAAATCCTTCGGTAAGTTTAACAAGTGCTAAGCATGATCAAAGTGAAGATATTTACTCTAGTAAAAAAAATGACATTAAGTAACAACGTTAATAATTGGCTGCCTTAGTTAGAAGCCATAAATGTGCATTGACCAAGTCTATTTACCTATCTACTTGAACGTCGTTAAAATAATAGGATACAAGCATATGAGAGACAAATCGTTCTAATCCTATTAGTTATTTTGTACACCCTTATAATTTGCTTTCCATAATTCACATAACTGTATTGTATACTTCCATATATGTGTGAAATTCGGTGTGTATACGTTTGTCCAATTACTTGAATACACATTGTTTGCCTATACAAACTGAGTTGCAAGATTTCTCGGTTAGATAGCTGGTATGCTAATTTCTCTGCTGCATTCGTATATATACTCTCTCAGATTGCTTGCCAATAAGCTCCTCTAAAACATAATATTCCCGATAACATTTCGTACTCGACTTTTAATAGCGCATTGTATTACAAGTCTGAGAATATACATGAAATTCACCAGACTCATAAATCGAGGGTCAATGAATTATGAAGTCAAATGAGTCTCTAGAATTGAGCATGCTCTAAAGCTGTCTATTTTCCCTACAAATTCATTTGAAAAACAAAATTAAAATACAAAAATTCAAAACAATATAAATTACATCTCAGAATTACAATCCAAAAGCTTCATATTTTTTTATTTTCGACGCATATTATTCGTTAGCTCAACTGGTTAGAACAGTTTGACATAGGCCATTAAGGCACCTCAACGATAGACCTGACTTCAGAATACAAAAACTATGGTTCTGTATTTACACCAAACGGAATTAAGCAAATGATTATATTGATAAATATCAATGGTTTCAAAAATGCTCGTGTAAATTTTTGGTGTCAGATTTGTGGTTTTGAAAAAAGCTCACAAAAGAATAAAAAATTGAGATATTTAACATTATTTCCATTCGCTTACTTCAAAACCTTTCTCATAGTTTTCTAACTGACGCCATGCTGAATCAATATCTTCGATCATACGTCCTTCAGTTGGAAGGAAAGATGGACGATTCGCCAGTCGTAATCTTGTTTGAAGTGTATTATATGTATTTTCTAGCAATGTTTTTTCATCTAATCTAGGAGGTTTTTCAAAGCCTCGATAACCTCTATAATGATCTAATTTTGAACGAGCTCCAGATATGGTTCCATCAGTTGTTCGATCCTAAATAGTTAAAAAATCAATACACAAACACTAAAGAACAATCAAATATGGCTAGGAACAAGATAGTTTTACTTTATACAAATGTTTAATAAAATGACAATAATGTGCACACCCACGTCCCTACATTAACTATATATTAAAAAAAAGAACTTTGTCAACTGACATTCAAATGTATGATTAATAAAAGCGAAATTGGTAAAGAAGAAAATGTGTTGCATTTATTGTAGTACAGAAAATGTAACAAATCCCTAATTAACATAAATCGATTTTTTCCATCATATGGCATAAATAACTTTGTTGGTTTGCTAACTTTTTCTCTGAAGAGAAAGGAAGGAAAATAATATTTTTTATTTCTAGCGGAACAACGTTTATAAATATTTTTATATGAACAATGAAAAATAATTAGTATAGATCGGAATAGAAATTCATTTTACTGGAAAATATTCTTTTAGTTACAAATGATTCAGACAGAAATTCCTGATAAAATTTATTTGTATTTAAAAAACTGATTTACTTGGTATTGTTTACTTGAATCTTCCCATTGATGTTTGGGACTGCAATCGATCAGTCTCTTATTAGCATATGTGCGTATTGCCTTAAGTTACAAGCATCCATATTTGCTTTAATTAACTTGTAAGTTTTATGTACTACACCATCTAATATATGTATATTTAGATAATGGAATGAGAAGACAAATTTCCATCAAAACGATGTGATCTATTAGCGCGGTATATTTCGATCAATATGACCACACTTTTACTTGTCAAGCCATTTTTATATGACAAATGAAAGGTCAAAGTAGACATATCGGAAGATAGAAAAAGAATTAAAGATAGTGAGGAAAGTAATGTGAATCACAACGCTCCAAAAAATAATAAATCGATGTTATCGGGGAAGGTTCAAGGTAAGAACAAACTGTTTTTAAACAGTTTAAGTGGGTTTAAATCTTTGTATCGATAACACTTCACTAAGGCTGGTTCAACGTGAACCTTAATGGGTGATCTCACCTAGATGCTTATCAATGGAGGAAGGTATTTATTGGAATTCATTTGTTTTCATATCCATTTAGATTTGTGTTCAGCCACTCTCACGTAATCTAAATTTACCGAACGGAGAAATTGTTTCGTATATATGCATATATTGAGAAATGTAATTGCAGTAAATATCCATTTTGGAAAAAAGTTATCCTTAGACATTTTACAATTATAATTATAAACATGTAAATTTGAAATCACTTTGTTTTATAGAATTAAAGTGCTGGTGTATACACTGTACAAGAAAATGATAATTGTATTAGTCATTATTAGCATTACTTGTTCAAGCAATTATGTGGTCACCGATCATATACTTGTACTTTAATTCTATCAGTCATAACAGTTCAGATAGTAAAAACAAATATTTTCAACTAGAGTTGTAAAGCCTGTTGAAAGATTAAAGAAAATCCATATTGGTTTAAAGGAATAGTGTTTTCTCTAATTATATTACAGTTTTATACGAACTTAGGATTAAGTATAAATATAAATTGATTTAACCAAAAGTATATCAAACTTAATGAAAACAGTTCGAGTTATAATTGACAGGTAAACGTTTGGAATAAAGCAACAGGTATATATTTTTCGTAAATAATGGAGTATCGTAAGGTGTTAGATGTGAGTAGTTGAAAACTGTCAGTGGGAAAATTTAAATGAAATCACAATAAGCCAAATGCATCCAAAAATTATCAACATTCTACAACTCTATGTCTATTTATTCCTAACTTTATGGGTATATACTCTCTCCTTCCGTTCTTTTGATATATATATATATATATATATATATATATATATATATGGTATTAACCCTTTTGATTTTTATAACTAATTAATCTACAGAGGACAACAGAACAAAAGATACAAGAGTAAACAACAATGCGAAATATCGATTTCACTTATCAGTAATCGAGTTTTGTTTACTTTACATGTACATGGAATATATGAATAACTTGCATAATTTGTGAATAATTTTTAACCTATCAACATGATTTTTAGCTTTCATAAATATGTACAGTATTGTTTTTGGTCTTTTGAAATTACTTTTTGTGCCATCGCTCATATTATAATAATTATTATTTAAGGAACTGATAGTAGTGGGAACAACTGTCAATATAATTGATATATAACAAACAATAGAGATATGATTGAACAAATTAATAAAGTAGTATGACGTTATATATCTGAGCTAGTGTCATCTGTTCAAGACTATATCATTTCAAGATATCCGACTCTTGATTCTTAACATTTTTAAAGTGTATAAATTTTCATACAAGGCTGACATTAACGGTCTGTGATTTTTTAAAAACTGATACTGTGTAATAATATGAACATAACTGAGTGCTTTGCAAACTGATTTTACTCTCGTCATTATTTTGTATTAGGAAAAATAAATAATACAGTACAAATAAGAAATTATCAAAACTTCGTTATAGAATAACAAATGAGCATAATCTTATATTTCTAAATAGCTGTAGATGTGTTTCAATAAGAACAACTAACTGGTGGTTGAATCGTGTTAGAAACACTGAATTCTTGAGATTAAATAACATTGGAATAACATTAACGTATTGTCTTTTCGATGTTTTAAACTTGTCATTTATTATGACTAGTAAATAACTGCAAATTAAAATAGATGTCTAAATAGACAAAGAACGGAACAATTCATCAATCTTTGGAGATGAATATATTACTAATATTACTACCACTAAGTAAATAAATTCAAAATCGAATCCTATCTTATACCCATGTAACGTCAACAGACTGTAATTAATTTTTAAAAATGTGTAATACTTGTTTATTCTATTAATATACTTATATTAACCCCAAAGCTCTTAAAATACATTAAGTCATTAAATGAGTTAAAATCAGAACTACCAATTTAAAAAAAAACATATACAGATATAATTTACTTTTAAAAATGGTATTTGTTGTTCAATCCACGCCAATAAATCCGATGCAAGTTGTTCATATTCTCGCATTAATTTCTCATTGTCTTGATTACTTTTTAAAACTTTCGTAATTTGATTAGCTGCTGATTCAGCCTAAATAAATAAATGAATGTATTAGCAAAAATGACCATATATATATATATATATATATATATATATATATATATATATATATTGGATAGGTAAAATTTGTTTAACAATAAGTATTCCGCTTATGGGTGATAGATGATCACCAGAATCAGTGAAAATGAAGATTATTTCCAAATTATTTCGTGATAATATATATTTCTTCAGTGACTTTCACACTGTAATTTATATGTGCTTACAAATGATTAATAAATAAATACCGAGTGACTAATGTCATATTTTTGTAGCCCTATAGTGATGATCAAATCTTATCAATCAGGTCACAATGTGGATAATAGTCTAAGCGACTTGGTTTCATAGGTTCTATGTTGGAATACTAAGTGCTTCGAAGTAGTCAGGAAGACATAAGTTTCGTACTAGTTGACTTTTGTCAATGTGGCTAACCTGGGATTTTAAAGGGACTGATATTCTCTGTAGGATTCAAACTCACGTCAACCAACCTCACAGTCTAAGATGTTACGGAATAGTTCAGTGACATAATTTCAGGATGTTAAGATGGATAATGAGAGTTTGCATCCCACATAGGGCATCAGTTCCCTGAAAATCACTGATGCTCTTTGCTGTTCAGTCCTAGCTAACGTAAAACCTAGGTCTAGAGTTTTATGCTAGCTACCTTTAACCCTCTCACTTTTATACATGTCTTTCTTAATTTTTATAGAGATCTTTTTTCTTTTTGATGTTCTTTTATTTCTAACTAGTTACAAATTACAGCAACTTGAACACATGTACAATTACTTGTGGTTCTGGCCAATTCTATCTCTTATGGTAATTTGTCAGCTGAGTTATGATATTTTCGAGAACAGTATTTCCTAAAATTATTCGCGACTTCAAAAGTAGTTTGGAAATACAAATTTTCTCATTAATGCTTTAACATAAGTCCAGATCATTCTTAAAATTATTAATTGTATTAAAGTCATAAAAAAATTCTGATATAAATCTATGGAGTCAAGCAATGAAAAACAATTTGAAAAGTTGGAGGATACAGTTCAGTTACTAGTCCATAATAAATCAATCAAACTGATTTTAAACCGATTATCTTAGGACAGAAAAACACCCATGTGGTTACCCTGACATTCTGTTAACACAAATGTTAATTTTAACACAAAATGATAAGAATAACAAAAATCAATAAAAGTCAAACTGTTGATACTTATGATTTATACTGGTATGTAAAATTGTCATTTACATGTATATTGTATACGTACTGAGAGGTAGACAGAAAATAAAATGACACTATATGGGTTATTATTCCGAAAACCTACAAGTTAGTACTTTGAATTTATATATACTTTTTGAAAGATGGCTATATCTTCATTATGAAGTAATTTGACATAGATGAGTAGATAACTGATTAGGTTAAGTACAAAAAGAAAACGGGGTTCATGAAATAATTTAAAAGTGAAAGGCAATACTAATCGTAATATCAAAAGGATATTTTGAGTGCTACTGATTTTTTATCAATAGTTAATGAATCATACATTTGTGTTTCTTCTTCGCGACAAGTTAAATGTTTGCTTTTCTACCAAGAGTAACCATAATGGATAATATTTTGTTCTCGACTTTGTATCATGATTGCAAAATATTAACATTTAAAGAGAAGTCTCTATTATTAGATAAAAGGTGTCTTCAAGGTATTGCTTGAATATATGTTACAATGAACTAGAGGTTGATACGGTTAAATACAGAATATTACATAGGAATAGTAAGTCAATTTTTGAAAATGAAGACTATGATCACCTTAGGTGGTAGGGGTATATATTTGTCTGTTTACTTTTTACTATCATTGATATTATGATTATTATTTCGGCAAATATTTTGTTTTACATTATGTTAAATTCCTCTGGTAGTGCTGATGTAAACTGTATGGAATAATTCGTTTCATATTATTAACGGTCGACGGACTTAACTATAAAATACTAGCATTCTGAATTCATGCAGTCAATAACTACCAAATATTCTTATCATTATAAGTCTAACTGTTCTGTTTGAATGTTAACCAAAGTTATTGTGCAAATAAATGTTTATAAGGCGTGACTAATTTTACCTAATCTAATTTTATGAATCATATAACTAATCATTCGTATTCATAAAATTAGTAATCAGATAATGGATATAGAAACATATGTTTCCGTAAATATTTTTTAGTATTTCTCTCTATCTAAGTTTGTATATAAGTATTTATTCAATATTCCATTTGGTAATTAGTGTTCTTTTTTGAACGCTCTGTTATCACCATGCATGGTTGAATATATAAAACTATGGGAATGGGTTATGGAGTGGTTAAAAACTGAAAACCTTCTACTTAAGTTGGTAAATAACAATAAGATCCATGGATATTAGATAAAATCTGGTCACCAATGAAAAGTTTACTTGAAGATTTTGTTCATAACAAAATTATGCAAATATTATAATAGTCCTTCTTGTTACCATCTGCCTTAAAATCGTTTATTCCTTTCAGATATAGTTTTAAACTATATATACTGAGAATATTTAGATTATAAGGATGTGATTGCTCAAATACCTACGACCAAATATTTGAAGCAATATGGAGGGAGGATTGAAGAACCATTTAACAAATAGATAGTTTTAAAGAACTAGCTTCATATTCCAGTACCTTGTATCATGGACTGGGAGGATCCTGAGATTCATTCAAAGCTAGAAAGTGATAGATGACTATATCATCTTAGCTTAGAATACCTTAATAATGGATAATATCTGAAAACTTTCATTTCGGTCCATGAAAGATGAGTGCGCGGTGCTTGGCAGTCTCGTGCTCAAACAAAATATCTAATTATTGCTCCTTTTTATTCTAGCTGACATCATTCCGTAACAAAAATTTTCTCCACATTATGATCCATAAAAACTATCTAATTTATTCGAAATTATCATGTCAAACCTTGGTAATGATACCTGCCTATCGAATTGTTGGGGGTGTGAAATTTTCAAATATAAAGTTTGAGGAAGAAACCAATCTTAGAATTCTCATGCCGATTTTAAGTGATTTTCAATCATTTGACCTTTAAAGTGCCTTTATTTATACTAATCAATCTACTGTGAATTCCATTCAAGTATTATATATTGAGTTTACCGAATTCGTTTGCAAAGTCACCAAATGCAATTAATATACAATGAAATAAACTTAAATATAAATCAGTTCTTCTTAGGTCTCTATCAGTAAAGCTTTCAGACAAGTTTGAACTTGTCTGCCTAGTTATCTAACTGTAAGGAATAGGATAGAAGTAGTCTCATTTATAGTGATTGAAGTTGAAATTACAAATTACCAGTTCGGTACATAGCTTTGTGATGTGGTTTATTTCTCATTTCTAAACTGTAATTTTATCAATACATACATACATTTGATAATTATATATCAAAGTTTGATATATATTTCACGAAATATTTGTATACTGTGTTTACTTCCATAGAGTGTGCATCTCTACTTACCTTTTGTGCACCTGCAAATGCATGATAATAAGCCGAAACGTAAGTCATAACAGACCTTTCATCTGGTCTCACTGTATTTACCATGTCTAGAAAAAAAGCAAAAGAATAGTCTAAGTGGCTGGTAGTAATCTAAAAGAGAAATATTGGGAAAACGTTTTCTGTATGTGATTTGACGGGGAAGAATTAAATCTGATAATTAGGTATTAATTCCATTGGAGAGTGATTGACCTATGGTCCCAGTCATTTATTTGTTAAGTGACTTTTAAGTGTTTATTCTCGTGATTAATATTTGGAGTGTGTTATTTTGTTATGAAAAATCCTGTTATTAGTTCGGCTGGGGGTTCTTGTCAATAATCAATCAGTTATATGGTATGATTTGATAATTTCGAATAGATTGAGTATTTTGTAGATTGTTATAAATAAATAGTATATTTGTAATATCCCAATGAGTAGAAAATCTAATTTTTCTACTCATTGGGACAATAAAAGATTGTCTTACAATATGGCGGATCGGTTGAAGCTGGATGTGTATAACATTTGACGCCTGGTCAGAGGTTTAAAGGTAAAGTAATCACAGAGTGTTTGAACATCGTTTATATATATTGAGTTCATCTTTAAATAAATATATCAGTCCATGCTGACACATTTCAGTTATCGATATTCTTTCATACTGATTGACTCAATGCACATCAGACTATCAATTTTACCTCACTATCTATTTACTGAATAAAAGATACACTGGCAAAATTGATTATAATCAAATGAACAAAATCTCTATTCCAACCTCTACAGAAAGAACTCGCTTATCGAAAATATAAAATGAATCACGGATTTTGCGATCTATGTAAGACATGTTAAACAGACTAGTTAGACTACAACTATCAATTTTGCCTTTATAAATTCATCTTGTGAAGATGGCTTAACGCATGTTTGGAAAAAATCTGTTATAGTTGTTTACTCAATATTCGCTTCAGTGGAATGTTAAATATTGCAACGAAGCATTGTTTGTTGTAAACAACTTGTTGGTAAGGGAAATTTAACTTTATAGAATACAAAAAGACTAGTATTTGAACGAAGAATATTCTTTTCGATAAATTCTCTTCATTTTGTTTATCACAATCCTAAATTCACATGCTTTAAACGATTTACTTTGCCCTTAACCTGACCACTTTTCGGATTATTAATTTGGATATATAATTGTAGAACCTGAAGAGAGTTTATCGAATAGAATGTTCTTCGTTCAAATACTAGTCTTTTATAGAATACAATAGATATTTTTTAAATGATTCAAGCTATCTGTTTTGTCAAATGTTATAACCATGAATTGAATCTGGTTGCATCGTTACTACTGATACCGAATAAGATACCGTTTCTCATATTAAAGCAGTTTCTATTATTGTACAATACTTACGTGAAGTAAGCATATGATTTCGTCAGTAGTGCAACAAAACGAAAGTATTAGAAGCATAAATGTATGGGTTTGGTCAAAGGTAATTGTGTCAGACATATCAGTAAGTGAGGAATCGCGCGATTGCCACCGAATTTAGCGTCGTTCACAAACTAAGCGTAATCTCGAAACAGAACTGCATAGATTTGCCAAATGATTCAATTTCAAACACTCCGATCAAATATAAATTTCATGAAAATATCAGAACTAGCAAATAATTATAACTATCTTTTCTAATTTCCACTTATTTATTCGAATAGATCATGTTACTTAAGTGGAAATTTTAAGGACTCATAAAAAGCATAGCACAACGAACGATTCTATTTCAATCATCCCATAATTCTCTGAATACACATTTTTGAATAAAATAGTTCATGGGTCATTCATTTCAACAAGTTGGTTTACAATAAGTTATTCATATCGATGATTTCTGTCATCACAGGTACCACCTAAACAATTGTTTTAATAAGACACAATCTAATGTCTATCAGTGATTCGTTCTGAGATGGATACTTGGGTATTTAGTTAGTAGCCATAATATGTATGATTAATCAAGCCAAGAGTTAGGCGGATCCCCACCAGTGACATTGAACAATAATCACATAATATGGTGAGTTTGATAAAAGCGAACATTTAAATTATTTGAATCTGAATTACTGGAAAGATAATATCATGTAGTTGACAGCCACGACTCCATCAGTGGTCCTACTATGAGTACTTATTCTTTAAACCACTGAGTTAGCATCCAATAGTTTACATGTCTAACTTCAACCTATGCACTGCCTGATCTCTTATGGTTGTCTAATTAAAATCAGTTTGTGGTGTTAAACATGAAATTCAACAATCTCCGAAACCCTCTTTAGTAATAAAGATATTTCTGCATTTGGCTAGTGATTTACTTTTAAAAAATATTTTATAGGAAATAAAAACGTGTTGTAATGACCAGCAGTTCACAAAGTTTATTAAAACATCATCATATACAATAAACATTGATGTACAAGTAAATTTAAACGATTATTTATAAGTTTACCTACCTTCAGCATCCAACATTCTTGGGATATCCAAGTGCTTTTCAGCTACATCAAAAGCATAATTTAAATTCTGTATTGGATTGTCCTAGAAGACAAAAATCGTAATTCATTAGTTACACCACAAGGTAATGTACATCTCTTCAAATTATATGACAAAGTACAAAATATACAAAACAATTTGTTCACTGAGAACTGGATGCGTTATTTATTCATGATTAATATTCATTTCCATTCGTTGGCAAAAGTCAAAGAATCATGCATTATTGTTTTCGGCATGCAAGTTTTAACAAGCTAGCAACTTACTTTTGAGAGTTTTGAATAGTCAATCAGATCTGGTCGATGACGATGTATTAGAGCACAGAATGCCAAACCATCTTTCCAACTATATTATGTATACATTCATGCATTTGGAAGTTAAAACAAAGAAACTTATTCAATCTTTTAGGATAACAAGTAGAATTATTAGCGGCTTTCTGATCAATCTTTAACGATTCTTTTTTGCGGACGATATAGAGTATAATTAACTAGCGCATATCTGAATCATACAAGCGGGGCTAGTGACATTAAAGAATACAAATATTAAACCTTTGTTTAATAAAATATAGTATTTCAGCACGTAATTTCATGAGATTGAGCTATTCCAATAACCTTTAGTGATTAGTGATATCAACTACCAGACGAATTGATAAAAATTGCAAAATACTGAACAGCTTTTTCATCCCGGTTTAAAGCTGACAACAGTGTACACTTACCAACTCTTATAGATTCGATTGCATGAAATAAGATCATTGAACTTACCTACAAGATAAATAGGAGGGTAGCCTACAGACTAATTTTGTGGTCTGCACCAGAGAAATTATTTATTTCCTCAAAGTTTAAAATTGATATAACTTGGTATGTAAGCTAACTGTAGTGCTGAGTTTCATAACTGATAAATCAACCATTACAAAATGGCTTCGATAACTACTACTAGTATGTAAAACATGCTAATCGAATCTTCAAAATGTTAAAATGTGGTCCAAATATGAGTAGGTTTCTCCAATGAAGGTAATTTAAACTACTTAAGCCCAGCTAATAAATGAAGCCAATGAAATGATCAGGAATCCTTAACAATATTTTGTCAATTTTTATAATTTATGGACTTTCACTTCAAATTTTCTTAAGGTAGTAAGTCAATTACAAAGCTATCAGTAAGAAAAAACTATGACCATAATAACAAAAACAAAATTCTCCACCGACACAAATTATTTTTCTATCGTGTGGCAACAGCATTTCTAGAAACTCTCTTGGATTTACTGCACAGAATAGTTATCAAAACTGACTTTGACTATATATCTGCTTATTTATACATAAAGCCAAATAAATTCAAAAACCATCTGATTTCAAAATGTAACAAGGTACAAAATATTTACACCACTTAAGACAGTTAGCAAATAAAGAGAAGTATTTTTTCTAGCATTTGTGTGCCAACTTTTATTCAGTCAACTACAAAAAAACAGAAAATTAAATAATGATGTCAATATTTTCCCATACATTTCTGTTTTATCTTCACAACAGGAAAATATTTTGGAAAAGCTAATTAGTTTTGTTTGAGAATTTTTTATTATTCGAGATTAATTAAGAGCAAGAGGCTGCTCGGAATTTTGTTATTCGTAGCATATTAAGGTCGATCGGTCGGTCGGTAACAACGTAGAACTTCGTACGTACGTACATTAGTTTGAGTTGCCACACCACATTAGCACAGAGATGCAGTAGTCGATTCAAATCCCGTAGTGCTAGATGTAGTAAAGTTCTAAGCTGTAATCAGAAAATTAGGGTTTGAAGATGTTATTCAAGAAGTATAGTCCAGTGAAATAAATTTGGAAAGAGAAAAAAGAAAGGGACATGAAGAATTCAGAAGATTAGAATTTGGGAGAACACAAAGAATGGATGCACCTGCGCCATTGCAAACGATTTTGAGCCATGTCATTCAGGGTCTCTAACCATCGGTTGTTATCATCTCGCGGTCGTGGGAAACCACGCTCTAAACTACACGTGGGAGCTTTTAACGCCCGAACACTGTGCCAAATAGGACATCAGGCTTCCTTAGCCAGGAATTTAGAATCTCGCGCCATCGATGTGTGCTGCGTCTCCGAAACGCGCATGCAGGATCCGAGTAGCGTCATTCATTTGACCTCACCATGTCAAAATAAAGAACCGACTCGATTCACACTTCGTATATCTGGAAACCCTGATTCTGCTTCCCGTGGCTTGGCCGGCGTAGGTATAGCATTGAGTCCTAGGGCAGAACTAGCTCTCTTAGAGTGGATCCCAGTAGAAAGTCGTTTGTGCGCTGTCCGACTGAACGGAACAGTACGGATCGGTTGGGTCATCACGATAGGCAAGCCCGACCACTGCGTCAAGGTAGCAGCTTCGGTCGGGTAGCCTATTGAGAGATGCGAAAGTCACATTCACAGTATGTCTGAATGACTAAATGATGGAGCCAAATAATGCGATTAACATGAATTTTAATGACTATCGAAAAAGCGGTAGTTTTCTAGTGGAATGCATATTTATGGCGGGAGATGTGGCAGAAAGTGTTTTTATTAACAAAACGTCTAACAACACAAAAGCTAGTCTTAAAACAACTAAGCTCACAAGCCGAAACGCAAAGTTAGCTTACAACGGTAGCTAGTTGTTGTAATTATTTTATCAATCTCTAACAATTACCACTTTTTGGATATTTGTCAACGAAAAGACTCAGAGCTCTTAAAATTGAGCGAAATGGACAAGAAAAATTAACCACCTGCAGTAATTACTATGTTCAAGCTATATTTTAAAACTATCTTGTGTCCTTTAGACAGTAGCTCAACAAATACATGACGATGTATGCATATAATCATAAGCTACCTGGAAATCCCAAGATGTAATCCCATGGATTGATGAAATTCAATCAATTTTTCTTTTTGAATGATAAAATATGATGATCCAAATCTTCGATCTGCATTTACGTTTACTTAATAACAAACATAAACAACTAGTAAATGGAGATAAAAAGTCGGTCACAGCCTAACAATAAAGCAATTTCCTGGACATGAGGTTTAAAAAATCTGGCGGGAAAATGTATCTGTTCTCTTTACTATTGATTGAATACTGAGTAGTGACCAACATATTGTTTACTCAGTCATTCGAAAATGGTTAAATGTCACCTGTTCGATGGTCACAAATCTAAGTGACACAACACTGAATAAATTGTATGGAAACGTTAGGTAGTTGGACGCGATAGGTAGTTTTCTAATAACTGCTTTCAACCATTGAACGACTCACTCATGTATACACTACCTTCGTTCCATAGTCGTGCAAGAACCAGCCATTTGACTTTGACTTTTTCCTATAAACACCAAATTACAACAATTTGAAAGAAGTGTAATAACGTAGATAGTAATTCTCAAGAACAAACTAACCTCATGTGAAAATTTTGTACGTTTACATTTTTATAGGGAGCAGTCTTGCGCTGGCACCACAATAAGAGACCTTCTTTAGCTGACATTTCTAAAATGAAAAAAATTGTTTGAAGTTTTATTTATTTCTTCATACGAATCAGTTTGAAACTCACTAAAAATTGTTTATCTTCGGCAAAAAAAGATTCATACAGTTTAACAAGTTAAATAACCTTCCTATATTTATATTAGTTCAAATGGAGTATATAAATTTGGGTCATATATTATCCGAGAAGAAAGGGTTTTTGAGAGTTAACAGAATATAAAAAGTAGATCAAATGAGTAGAAAATTAGCTAATCAGTAATTTTCTGAGTTCTTTCCAAGGGATCACTGACTAACTAATGGGTAATTGTTTAGCGAGAAATAAGCCTATATCAACATTCTGCATCTTATGTAAGAAACCAGGCGCTAATACACCTTATTTATATGTGCACAGCAAGAAGGATCGCTCGCAAAAACACCACTAAAAAAGAAATAAAAACAAGGAGGATCATATTGTGAAATCCTCACCTTCGACGGTAATATCTTGGATACAAAACCGTAAAATTATTGTCCATATCATCCCAAGAGTCATCTTTATATTCCCATCAACGATTTCTAGCAAAAAATTCACTAAAACGATTCAATACCTTCAGCGCCAATAGAAACTAGTTGAACGCCTTTACTTTCTATATATTCTAATGCCTTATTAACATTCGCGAGTTTGTGAAAACGCATTTTTCCTCTATCGGGTTTGGGTAACGGCTCCTCAGATAAAGTCTCTAACAGCTGAATAAGCTTAAGCCCGTCAGTGAAATCTTCCTCAATATTTTCAATTGAGCATTTCACTTTTCTCAAATATGAATTGCACCATGCTGTAAAAGTCTGAAAAGAATGTAATAACAGACTTTGAGAAGTACCTTTTTCTGTTGTATTTCCCACATTGGATCCAAATATGCTTGACGATCCCATTCCTCCTCTTCTTCTTCCTGAGCAGAAGGAAAGTATTCATCTGGATAGACTGTGTACCCATACTCCATCTTACGGAAAACACTCAAGGTAACCGCCTTTAGAGTAATGAGTAAAGTGCATGATGTTGGTTCATACAAACGAATAAAATCCTCAATAATTAAAAAAATATGTTTAAAATAAACCAAATAGTGTTTGTGAACATATTAGTTCATTTAAAATGTAAAGTTGTTTTATTTTTTGGGTTAAACTATTTAAAGCACACCTCACCTGAACTGTTAGTGATAGTAACTTGTTGTTCATTTGTCCAACCACGAGGGATGATGTTCAGAAATACTGCGATGTAGCATTGTGAGCGTGAACATGAATTTTCATCAAAGTTTGTAACGAATTATATGTTCGCAAACAATTCTGAAATAATATCGATCATACGGAAACAGCCATTATTTTTAAAATTTCAACTGAAAGCAGCAAAATAGTATTTCGACATATGTATACCTCAGACATAGCCGATAGTGAATTAATCAAAAAAGATAGATTGTGTGACTCCGCTGTATATTTATGACTCCAACTACTTTTGCATAGTCAATTGCATTCACCGTTCAACAAACAAATGTATAATTTTATCTTGAATACCAACACTCATCTTTGGTAAGACAACAGAAAAAACATCAGGAGACTCTACATTTTTGTCTGTCTAGTATTTTTGGTCGCTCAGTTCATAAGAATTCAGCTTATAAAGTCGTTCATAGAAGTCCGTGAAACTTACCGTCAGCTTACAAAACCGAAATCAAATATGCAGCAATAGCCTTAAAAGTAATCCCATGTAGTTGGAATATTTTTACTAATTCTCATTTATTGGACTCTTTCTTATTAACCAGTTCCTTTTTTTGTTTAGCAAGCTAATTTGTGTTAGATAAACTTTTGACTGTATAGCACAGGTTGTACCGTTTGAGGTATTTTGTATTTTGATATAATTTGTAATATTAACTAAATTAGAACCGTTTAAATTGAGCACAGCGTTTGTTCTTTGATATAACCTAATACGAGTAACTCAGAAACGTTTCGTACGCTATGCAGAAGAACATAGTCTGGTTTAATCTAGTAAATTTTGGTTCGTTAGTCCTGTGTTTAAACGAATATCGATAGTTCGGTCATTACATTAATTATGAAAAACGTTTGTGCAGCTTCGAAGGTTACCACGACTTCTACCTAGTTACCATCTTGCTTCCCAAAATCTTTAAACTCAACAGACTTTCCTGTTATTATGCTTGTGTGATTATCTGTGATTATTTTCTGATAGTGCAAAGTCATCTCAAAGTTTGTTTTAATTTTGTTGCCAAATAAGTACGAGATTGTTAAAATAACACACTACCATTTGTTTGGTGTATTTATATTAAGTAGTGAAACCTACATAATATTCTTCCGACCTGAAACAAAATAATTCTTTACATCGCTCATATTTTTCATGTAAGAGTAGATACAATAAACATAGCGCGTCCATCGCTACACGGTATAGTCTACGGTGTGCAACTAACTGACGTGCGTTGGTTGTCCTTGATCGTGACGACAATTGTTGAGCTATACATTATTCAACGACACTTTAATGCCATTGATTCAGAGCCTCATGACCTTTGAAGCCAAACATAAATCTACTGAGAAGGTTTACATTCAACATGAGACACTTAGAGGAGGTCAAAGATGGTGAACGCTGGGGCAATTTATCGATGTGGCATGACTCAGCCTTGCTGGCGTCATCATTCTATAAAACTCATGCCTTCCCTCATTAAGTATATTATTTTATCTTCAGTCGAAATGTGTTTTTCAGCAGTACTAAACATCACACTGCTGATAGCCACGTATAACGAATCAGTATAGGCAACGTTATGACTTGCAAGTAAGGTCCAATAGATTAGGTTGTCTAATCACGACAAATCTACAATTTTGGGATCATGTCTATCATAACAGCAACATAGATATACTAAAATCGAATTAGAATATAATTTCACAGCCCGACTGCCGGATGATGTGACTAGTACCTAGTGAAATTTCACTGATACAACAGGCTTATGATCTCAAGCAAGCGTTTTCTCCATTGACCAGGAATTCAGTTGTGAAACGCTTTTTACATTTGGTAGTTTACTGTCCAGGTCAGTCAACGTCCGTTTACTCCTAGTTTATGACTGTTCGCCATTCCTTGCCATAAATTTATTATTATCCTTGTGATTATCTAGGATTTTGATGTAGGTACCTTTGGCGAAATATTTAAGATGATAGTCAATAGTATTTAATAATTATTTTATGTCAAGGACTTTTATTATTATACTTTTTTGCTTTACAGGCTAACAGGTTCACTTTCGTTACGTTTTTTATGGTGAAGATGATTCAATCTACGCTACAAGGTTGAGTTTGAAACGGGCGACTGTGCAGTATTCTTTGCTTCCTGGATTGTAATTAGCATCCTTGAACTATTTCGCTTGATTTGGAGCAACATCTGACAAACTGGGGGAACGTGTTCATCCGTTACTATCACTGAAAGTCAACTATTTGAACTCATTACAATAAAACATGAAAGATATTTTGTGTTTCCATACTCAAAAATAAGAATTTTTCACTTGAGAGTGGTTGATACTTTTGTAACGGATTATTTCATAGTGAAAGCGATCAAACTCTTCGGCCTTAGGGGCTTTCCAAAGAAGTATTTAGGGACGATTAGAATTAGTTTGGTCTAAGATGAGTCTAAAAAATATTTGAATCTGTGTTGATGGTGGTTAAATGGATTAAGTTGTTCGATTCATAGCCAACTTGTTCATCAGCAATACCCTTGGTTATCGAAGTGGTATTTTCTGTTTTTGAGAAACTAATTGATGTATATATCAAGACCTTGACCATATCACATGCTATGAGATAACCAGTTAGGTTGTATAACCTAGGAGCGTAATTTGTTGAAGTACTTCGCATTAATTATATGTATAATCTTTGTATCTTTAACCGTACTAAATCTTACCATTGTATCTTAAATTCATCTATGTGAAGTACGAGTGTCTACTTTTTAACCAGATGATATACAAAATTTAAACCACACCGACTTGGGCGTTGAACTGACTTATTTGAACTGTGACATTTTTGGTTCTGAGTCTATTCGAGTTGCGGAATGTAAGCTTGTTGGGTTGGATCTTTATCTCGGGGTTAAGATATTTTTATTTGAAATCAATTCATTTAGAAAAAATTAATGGTTTCGAATATGTTGCAGCCAAACTTATCAAGAGGTATTAAGATCAATCAATAAGCTGCACTTATAACAAATACATTATATCTCGAAACGTGAAGTATGTTTTTACTTATTTTACCAAGAGATAATATTTCCCACTTTCCTTGGCCGGAAGGCGGAATGATTTTCCGCTACAGAATTATACACCCGAGCTCCACATGCTCTTCCTACTCTGTAAAAACCAATGTGATCAAACTGTAGATCACTTTTGACTTGATTTATTTACTAGGGGTAGATAGTAGTGCAGAAAACCTAATGTGTCATTGACAAATGAGAGATGCCAGATATAATCATTGTACTGTTCCACCAGTTGTATAGAAGAACCTTAATAGTTTCACAGTTGAGACAGAAATTTTAGATTGAACATCCTGATGGACAGTGATATGAAGCCTATTATCATTTCACAAAAAAATCTCCGTCAGTTACGGCCCAATTTTTGAATAAAACAAAGTCCGTTTCTTTTGTGCAAACGACCCTGGGTTTTAAGATGCAAGGTCTCTAAGAATTCGTTATTGCAAACTTAGACCTGGAAGTAATTATAATATTATAATATTATAATATGTTGTCCCATTTATCCTTTGTTCAGCTTTGGGAATTGTGTGGCTTTGGCTCAATACACTACATATGAGGAGAAGGGACCAATCTACGCTAGGTAGCGGTCGTAACATATGCGGAGCACGGCGTTTCCACTCGTGATCTGGTGTGGATGCGTGACCGGGCGCCTTCAGTTGGTGAATCCATTAAAACTAATGAGGTAAAGGTCAAATTCCAAGGACTTACAGAGCTATTGATTTAAGGATTTATCTATCGCTGCTGATCACTACCCACCTAGAGCGATAGTGCATGCGTTTCGTAACTATGCAAAAGCATGAAAACGATTACAGCAGAATGAATTATCGGTCTGTTTTTTTACAAAATAATGATATACACATATAAGCAAGCATATTAGGAACAAAAACATTTTTGAAATAAAACTATGCACATGAGCATGTTAAAATAGCCAGTTTTTGACGCAATAATACAAAAATAGTCCAGACGAAACAGAGAGTTATGTAGTGTATTACGTGCAGTAATCGTCTAGATGTTCTGGGAACCTTACTCTTACAGAACGCGTTGTTAGGAGTCTGTTTTCAGGTGCTGGCAAAGTACCATCATGATTGTTGGCTGTCGGAGGTATAGTAAGTCTCGGATCCGTGCCTTCAGATTGTACCGAAGTAAAATCGACGTGAATGGGGTTTCCTTTTAATTAATTTGCTTTGATGCAGTCGATGCTGATGCTATCATTAGTCCAGTCCTTATGGGTTATATAGTACTTAGGTTTACGCTGAAGAACTTTGAATGGTCTTTTGTATGTTGTTTTATCAGGCCGTTGAAGTTAGTCACGAAGTACAAAGACGTGTGTACTTTATCGTAATTCAGGTTGACCGAAAACATCATTGAAAACAGGTCTAACTAAATGCGTTGCGTCTTTAAGCCTGCTCATGTAAGAGTTTAGATCCATATTCACTGAAGAAGACGAAGTATCGACAAATTTTCCTGGAAATGCCGTTCCATTAACGAGTCCAGCTGCAGTACATTCAATGTCAGCTTGCACTGCACTGCAAATACCTGTTAGGACGACTGGAGGAGCGTCAGTCCACTGAGGAATGTTTGCAACTTATAGTGAAGCTTTTAGTTGTCGGTGAAAGCGTTCTACTAATCCGTTTTCTTGTGGGTCATAGGCAGTCGTTCAAGAGCGAGTGATTCCTAAAAGTGTGGTCAGACAACTGAAAAGTCCAAATTCGAACCGGCGTCCGCGATTTGTAGTGATGGTTGAAGGGCTCCAGAAATGTGTCGTATGTCTGAAGTAAAGTGAGAAGTACAGTCCATTTGTCGAGACTCACGAGATGAGTATTTGTCTGAAGATGAGCTTAAAGAGAAGGCAAGCGGTTTATGACCAGTCAGAAGGGTAAAATCTCAGCCTTCAACAGAATGTCGAAAGTGCCATACAGCACAGTATATAGTTAGGAGGTCTTTATCGTAAGTGCTACACCTGAATTCGTTGTCGAGCAATCGTTTCGACAGCAATGACAAAGGATGTCAAGTGTGGTTAACCCATTGTTATAAAACTCCAATTGCAGAGTTGGATGCGTCTACTGCGATACCAATAGGTGCCTGGGTGTCCTGGTATGCAAGCATGGTTGAATTTGCGATAAGCTCTTTAATTGTGGAGAATGCTTTTTTCGTGGTATTGTAGTGGCATTGGACAATAACCACACAGCCCACAAATCTGAACACGTGACTACTCAGAAAATAGATATTCAATATTTAACGCGGAGAAATACCTAACGATAGAGAAGGCGGGAAGAATGTATTGAATGGGTTGGAGTTGATCAAATGGCATGGCTTGGCCATGCAGGCATGGTCCCTGTTATATTATATCCTTTAACCATATTTAATATATTGTCCTATCTCTAGCCTAAGCTTGTTCTCCACCATGTATTGGTAATTGTTATGATGCAATGAGTTGGTGTAGACGATGATGTAACTTCCACGTAAGATCTTATAGATTAGGCAGTTATATCATGACAAGTCTATAATTTTAGGATTAGGTCTATTATTAGAGCAGTACTAATATCATAGTAGACCATAGTTCTACAGTATCATACAAGTTGATGGATTTTGCATTTTCACGAAGTTAGTCGGTTGGAGATTTCATAAGGGATGCGCAGTTTGGTATGAACCGTCTATAAAAACTTTTAGACAGAAAAAATGGTCTAAACAGGCCATCATCGAAAGTTCTTTGACCGATTACCTCTCTCATTCGTAATAACATGTCCGTTGTTGAGCCATATTGCAGATCGATGTTATTGAGGAGTTGATCTAACCTCCGTCGATCGGTTAGATCTCCGCGTTTAAGAATAGATCTTTTTAGTGTTCATAAGGTTCCGAAACATCACTAGTAAACACACTAGGTGTAACGTACCTGCTGAAATCGCGCAGTAGTGCTTTTACTACTGTGAGGAATTGTGTACGTGTGTCGTTTACGCCATGCGCGTAAAAATTGGCTTTTGCATAACAGAACCAGGCTTCAATGTTGTCCGGCCAAGAAGGCATTAGTTGACATGAAGGTGGAGTCATAGTCTTTAACTTGATTACCTTAGAAGTGTGTTCGGTCATGGCGAATATGAAGTACAAGAATGAACGAGGGAAAAATACCTGAAAACAGGGGAAAATTATCACAATATATAAAAATTAAAGTAAAGCAATGATATGTGAAGTTCCATGAAGGAACAGACCCACAGTTTATAAGTCCATGTACCGGATCACGTTGGCTCATCAATGAAGATGCCTCAGGTATTCGTAGTTTGACAACAATTTAACCAGTAACACCCTCTATGATAGGATCGCGCCCACCTGTTAAAGTAAAAAGTCAGAAGCCAGGACGTTTAAAAACATATTTGTTAGACCATAAATATATCGCGAAATGACCGATCTAAACTGGCTAGCAGTTACAGGTAAAGTTGAGAACGGCGTTCCCACTCGTGATCTGGTGCGGATATATGACCGAACACCTTCAGCTAGGTGAGTCCATCAAAACCTATATCGTCATCGTCAAATGTCCAAGACTTACAGAGCTACTTAGTTTGGGGATTTTTTTTACCGCTACAAACATAATGACATCGAAGATAGATAGTTGTAATAAGTCATACAGCAATTCCTGCAGTCTGGAGAAGTGAAACAGACAGTACACTTGAAAGTGTCATTCGTCTAAAACTCACTTTATTTCACAAGGATTCTACCCAGGAAAATAGGCAGTAGAATTAGAGGGATAAAGGATATAAGATTGTGATGGAGAATACCAGATGTTATCTCTTACGTTTCAATAAACTCGGTCTAAGATTCAATTCAAATAGGTATTAAACGAACGTTCTATAATGGGTAGTACATTATAAAGAGATAATACAAGTTGTAGAATAAGTTATCACAAGGGATTTTATTGCGGATGCCATTCAGTTTCTAAGCAAACTCTTATGAAGTTTCATTTATTCTTCGCTTTTGCAAATTCCTGTTATATTAATCCAAAAGCTTAAATATTTTTGACCGCATATATGTTTCTTGAGATGAGAAACTGAAAAGGTCTTTTGTTTGACATTTTGCAAACAAGAGATTGAAGTGAGGAACTGTTAATCCATCATCATTTGAATGAATTTGAATTGTATATTGTCCAGCGCAATGTTCGAAGTAGACGTTTCTTAAAGTTTTGGGTTGTTGCGTAATCATGCTAGTGGTGCGGACATTTTGAAATCATATCCTTGATCTGATCGTGCATTTTATGGGTGTAAATGGGCGTTTTGTTGATGAATCACAACAAATGGCAAGTTTTGACATTGTTTGTGTAGTCACGACTACTAGTAGTTATACCATTTATAAACAGCTGTTGATAAATGGTGATTTGTTTCGTTTATTTGTTTAGTAATCAATGACTGGAAACACAATTTTTTGTAGAGAATTTCACTCTAGTTCTCTCTTAATTCGTTCAAAGTGAAGAATATTTTATCACTAATATGTAAACATAGTTTGGGAGCTTTCGTAATGAAATATAAACTTCATACTGGGACTGCATATGTTAGTATATGGATGGCCAAGCAATAGTTAGTCGTCTGTCTGAAATTAATTGTAGGGTTAGGTTCGTATAAACGACTGGTGACTTCACTGTTATTAATGGTATCTCGGATGTGTGATCATATAGTCATGAAGACCGGCATCTTGTTAACAGGACGACTTAAGAAATCATTGTTCCAACTTATCTCGGAAAAAATACTGTGTCACGACTCCAATATTTGTGTTCTTATTGCTGTTTAGCTCGAGATGTCCAGTCATCTTATGTCTGGACTGGTCCAGTCGCAGATCCTTATCCCTCAAGAAGTTTTTTCATTTGATGTACAGAATATCTGGTATTCTGATTCAAAGCCCAGGGCGTGAATCAACATGCAGTTATTGAATAAGAATGCTTTCTCTGTGTATTCGCACACTGATTAAAAATTTACGAGATTCTTATTCCCAATGTTAACATGAAATCATAGTATGCTCAGTTAACATTTTAAATTGCTCATTACTCAAGCTCTAGTTCTAAAGTCCATTTTCAACTTGAATTATTTCACAGATTAGCGAAGTTCCACTTTGTGGTTTTTCCATTTCTGTCGTTGGTGAGGAAAATAATTTCTCAGTGTTATCTGTTATCGTCACATGGTGGAGGCAGAGGTGATCATTTAATGTATGGCTGAATGATATATACGATGGCTGCTAGCCTACCATAGTGGCAGCTTGATTAGAATCTAATAGTCATGCAGTTTTCATTCAGAACATGTCTCAACCAGAACTAAAAGTTATCCCATAATAGTTTTGTTTTTTCTTCTACATTGGTAGTAAAATAGACATTGGAAAACGAAATCCAAAATAAACTGTTAGATGTTTCTTGATAGACGTTTTATTATGCTGTATATGCTACACAAGTTGTACCACTGCTTTGCTGTTCCGCTATGATAAAATTTCATTGATAAGTACTTCGTAGGTAACGAACTTTTTACTGAATCTATTAGTAACATTTATGATTCCTTTACCTTGACTTTATAGCCGAGCAGATTTGTGAAGTTCTGTTGTTACTAATCATGAAGGAAGTTAATGAGGGCGATCAAAATGTAAGTTTCCCTCAAAAGTCCTGGTACGGCCGAAGGTGGGGAGAGTCAGCTCTCCCTCTTGAAATGCTCTCACATGTCCATGAGTATGCAGTCACTGCCGGGGAAGTCCTACCCACTGCTTTCTCGTGGCGGGGTTGTTGCTCAAAAGATTGCGAGGACGTAAAGCGAATGTCCGGCGCTTTAACTGGGTTGGTGGATATGGATGACCCACCTAGGGCAGTTGAAAAACCCTGATTCCAAACCAATGGTCACATGAGCTCCAGAGTCTTGAGGGGACAAATGGCGTATGAATCTTTTGCTAGTCACTGACTGCCATAAGAATGCATATTTTAACGTTGCTCCACTGCCTTGTGGATTAGAACTCTAGGTCAAAGGTTCGGGGAGTGGCTCGGCAATGGTGGTCTTTCTTGACTTAAAAGCAGCATTTGACTCCGTAGTCCGCGAGATTCTGCGGCAATGTCCGTCATTGAAGGCGTACCTCAGAAGTACTTAAACCTTGTGAAGGCTCTTTACTAGAACACTACTAGTCGAGTCAGAGCTTATGGCGGACTGTCATATGAATTTGCAACCTCAAGTGGTGCCGTTCAAGGCTGTCCACTATCTCCATTTTTGTTCGATTTCATCACAGAGATAATGTTGGAAATAACGTTCTCGTTGACTGAAGTTTTGGGCATTGATCTGCCAGGAGGTTCACTTATCAGCTTAGAATACACAGATGATATAGTCCTGTTTGGTGAAGACTCTGATAAGATGCAGTGTCTTTTGGTAGCACTGAGAAATAATGTTAGGGTGTTCGGGAATGCATTACTCCCCTTCTAAATGCAAGTTGTTGCTTCAGGACTGGCCTGCGTCAACACCTGAACTAAGGATAGGGAGTGGAGTAGTCGAACGCATTGACAACTTCACTTATCTTAGAAGTCTGATCAGCCCTAATGGGTTGGTGTCTGACGTAATCTCTGCACGGACTCAAAAAGCTCGTTTGGCTTTTGCGAACTTACGTGACCTATGGCGAAGGCGAAATATCCGTCTATCAATTAAGGGACAAGTATACTGCGCAACAGTTCGTTCCGTTCTACTCTACGGCTGCGAAACGTGGCCATTAATGATGGAGGATACTCGTAAGTTACTAGTATTTGATCACAGATGTCTTAGAAATATTGCTCGTATTTGTTGGGATCACCGGGTAGGTAATAGTGAGGTTAGACGCAAACTATTAGGGAATGATGGTAAATCAATTAATGAGGTTGTGAATCTTGATCGACTGAGATAATTGGGTCACGTGTTACGTATTCCTGAACACCGATTACCACGACGCTCAATGCTGACTAGTCCTAGTGATGGTTAGGGGCGGCCAAGCCAAAACATGGCATCAGTGCTTGAAGTCACTAACTTCTAGTCTTAGCCATGTTGGTAGATGCAGACTACTTGGTTGGGGTCCGTGTGACTATCGTAAACAGTGGTTGGAGGCTCTGGGTAACATGGCTCAGAATTGATCACAATGGCGTAGGTGTGTAGACTCTTTGTCTTCACTTAAATTATGAGATTAAAATCGCTTCATATCTTTCTTTCTACTAACTAATTCTTTCTTCCTGTACTGTATCCATATATGCAATCTTTCTTTTATATATTACCACCATTGACTTAACTACTATGAATCTGGTGTTTATCTTGTTGTGCTAATGAGGTATGGCAACTTGGACCGATGTACGTATGTGCCCTATTTAGTATAGATAGTAATCAGTGGTTTCTATGTCAGAAATGTTATCAGTCCTTAGATTATTTTATTTACGACTTTTTATTCAGGTAAAATTAGGTAAGAGGAGCTGGAAGACGCACTTGTTGAAACCATTATCATGGACTCCAAATAGTAAAGCAAAACAAGCAAATACCTGCTGGGTGCAACTGTCTGGTCATCAAGGTTAGTTTCGAACAGCGAGATAGTTTGTCAGTGTTTTGAATCAATATCGCTTTTTTGAGAATTCCCCTTTTATTTGCTATCCTTCCTTTTAGGAACTGTTAATACTAAAAAAGTACGTACATAGAGTTTTGCTGCACTAAGAAATGAGTACTTGACATGAAAAAATTTGATCCTGCTTATTGTTATCAGACACACTTAGATACTCGTCTGATAATAACAAACGGGTTTTTGTTCCTCAGTTTTAGAAGTGTTATCATAGTTCCAAGGGAATTTATTTCGTTTTCTTATTAGTTTTATAAATTTTGTATTTTTAAATGCAATATGGAAATATATCTATTATTGTCTGTACTTAAATTGTTTTGAAAATGTGTTTATTTTATACCATCTTGTTTCTATGTGATGCGGTTTGAATTCTTATTTGATAGATTTCTTGATATCATGAAAGTTAGATGCAAGGCATAAGTAAGCCTGTGTAAACTTTTGTACAGCTTCCTTACTTGTGTTTGTAATTTATTTGTAAGTTGGTGATTTTTCAGGTTTGATCAGTTTGGAGCCATGAAATTGACTCAAATGAAAACACTGATAAACAACTGGCATTTCAGTGAATTAATAATACGAGGTTTAATATTACGTACATATATTGTTATGGTGTGATGAAGTTCCAATATCCCACTTCACATTACAAAGGATTCTGAAGGTTTAATTTTGTCTTGTTTTTGGCGAATACCTTAATAAAGCAATTACATCACTGTAACAAACTATATTTTTCAACCTATTAATCCAAGAAACTGCTTCAGTTTGTGGGATTCTTTACTTTGGAAATTAACCTAAAACGAATCTAATAGAAATAAACGAATCGGTTGAAATTCCTTAGTGAAATTATTTATTTATTTGAACACATAAATATTGGTACAAGGGGGCACCAAACATATATGCTCCACACAAAACACTGAGAATGGGAAGAGAAAAAAGAAGGCAAGGAGCGTAAAATAAAAAAGAGGAACAATAAAGACCAGATTAGTGAAAGGTAGTGTAATAATAATAATGGGGGAAACGGAAAGGTACAACCAGAAGAATTCTTTCAGTTAAGGAAGATACAACAACTTTTTATGAAGAAAATAAAAGGTTACAGCAGGATTGCCACTGGCTTCTGTCCTGAGCCATATGTGATAACGTCTCTAACCACTGTGTTATACTATCTCTCGGACCCTAGCCAGTGAGTCGTAAAGGACCAACAGAAGCCAGCCCTTTTCAGCTTTCTTTCGTACCCCGACACCATGTCATACACTGAAATAAGTAATGACTGTGGAATTACTACAAACATTGTTTAATAATATGTCATCGTTTTTGACCTTGTATGTTTGCCGTTCGAAGAACTTAATAAGAAACCTCATTCATCTAATTAATGCGGAAAATAAGCGAATCTGTCAATTTTTTAATGCAGAACACCTTTGATTGACCTCTTCGTGTTTTTTATATGCTTTAGATAACACTGAAGTAATTGAAGGTCAAATACATATTACTTTCAATTACTTTTTGTTAATGATTCTTCAGGTAGCCTAATATCTAATGGTAAAGGAAGCGTTTTAAAACGTTATTGCCAAAGTGAAGCCCAATGTTTACTACAGCTCCAGCTAGATATACTCAGATCATTTGTCCCTAAATACCAAGGCGAAAAGCTGCTCGATGGTGAACGTATCCTTTTTGGTGTAATTGGTTTTTGCTGACAAAAGCAAACTAAATAATCAAAGGGAGTCACTATTCTCACTCACTAATATTCTTTTATTATACGTTTGTGTAAACTAATGACTTCAGTAATTTCATCCAGCTAAACCAGTCCTCTTAGAGGATTTTATTAGAAGCTATATTATGTGCTTATGATTGGGTTTTCGGCTGATTAGTTTGTTAGGTGCTCCAGTTTTAACCATAAATTGATATGTTTTACTCCACCATCTATTTAGGTTTGATATTATCTGTAGTCGTCGAATAATAGGTACAAGTCGATCTAAGGTGCAAACCTACATTTACTTATTTAAACACATAAACATTGGTACAAGGAGGCACCAAATACATAAACGCCACACAAATCATTCGATTCACGTGAGGGCTGAAATACTGCACGGATGCCCAAACCGAAGAAGGTAGTTTTCTTAGGGTGGTCACTCCCCGAGCCTTAGACCTAGAGTTCTAATCCACAAGGCAGTGGAGCAACGTTAAAATATGCATTCTTATGGCAGTCAGTGACTAACAAAAGATTCATACGCCATTTGTCCCCTCAAGACTCTGGAGCTCATGTGACCATTGGTTTGGAATCAGGGTTTTTCAACTGCCCTAGGTGGGTCATCCATATCCACCAACCCAGTTAAAGCGCCGGACATTCGCTTTACGTCCTCGCAATCTTTTGAGCAACAACCCCGCCACGAGAAAGCAGTGGGTAGGACTTCCCCGGCAGTGACTGCATACTCATGGACATGTGAGAGCATTTCAAGAGGGAGAGCTGACTCTCATAGTGTTGCAGGTAAATAAATTACTAGTTCTTTTCAAACATGTGTATTTTATTACTTGTGTTCATTTCTTAACACAATATATTCAAAGGTTACGTAAAAATGCAGGATTTGCTGTACAATTTTAAATCACCATCAATAATGGACTGCAAGATTGGACAACGTACTTTTTCAGAAAGTGAGGTCATTGGAGACTCTTCAGAAAATATTCGAAAAGTAAGTTCATTTCTATTATTTTATGTGGTGTGAATATAATGATTGCTCCAGGTCTTTCGTGAATGAGTATTTTCGCTTACTGTTAACAGTATGGTAGGAGTGGGGCAAAATCTTCAACAGACCGTTCATATTTTGAAACGTATTTCTTCTCTCGTATCTCTCAAATAAAATAAATCAAATAATCGACCTCTATGAATTCGCATCACAAACTGACATTTTTGTTTTTATACTCAAATACGATGGTTGTAGTTTTCCAACTTCAAAAAGGCATACCAAACGGGTTGCAAATTGTTTACAGCATCGTAGTTGGAGCTACTAATATTATAAACCTGATATACTATTGAAGTACTATATCTTCTATTAGTCAGGATCCTCAAAATTGTTTGATTCGTATCCCGTATGATATAGCCAATGAAACTGAATGTTTTTTTATCGCTTAACACCACATCTTTTACAATTATGCAATGAAATGCTGTGTGTTTAATAAACCTCTTAGACATATCAACAGTTAATAATCCAGCAATAATAATTCATATTTTTCCAAAAAGTAGTTCTCGGTAATACTTGTTAGATACAATATATTGAGACCTTTTCAAAACATTTCTTTTGAATTGGCACCATTCTAAATTATTCATAATCAATACAGGTTTAATTTTATTTTTCTTATCTATTGTTTCTGGGATTATTAACCTTGTTTTTAAAAATACAAAATAGGATCTCTACTTGAAAATGATGTCTACTTCGCCTAATGCACCGACTGAAAGAGAACATCGTGAAAAAGGTGTTTCGAAAGTACGCTATTTGCAGTGGCGTGATACAATTAGCTCAACGGCTGAGTATGGTTTTCGCATTGAAGCAATCAAGGTATAGTATTTCATGTCTTGTGGTTTAGTGGTTTTTGCGTTATTTACATCTTAACTAATCAGTCATAAACAACATAACACCTTGCACATATGTATATCGGTCCAAATTGCCATGTCATATAGAGGGATATGATTTAAAACGAAAAGTAAATTCGCGGAATAAAAGTTTCTAAATAATTTTAAAACTGGGTTTATGTGAATACACATAGTGAGTGCATCCGCTCCACTACGACTGATTCTGGAGCATGCCACCCAACATCTCCAACCACCGACCATAATCTCTTACCCTTACCTCAACCATTGGGTTTAAACTAAGTATGGTAACTCCAGCAGGATTAGCTAATTGTGATTGGTTATTTATTTACAGTGTTTCTCATAGCTCAGTATACAAGCCTTTACGTAACTAACCGAAATTCATTAATCTAATTAAGTTTAAACACATGTTTATGCTTTAACCATTCATAATGAGTGTATGGATTTTAACCCGAAGAGTAACATTGATACTTGTTATGTTAACCTGTACAAATGTATCAAATCTAACAGAATCTTTGATATTTATTACTGCACTTGTAAACTTGAATTGAGTTTCGATTCTTGTGGTAGGATAGTTAAAATTAAATTATGTATATGATAATATCAATGTTAGATGATCGTCAGTAAGATATACCATCAATATGTTTGAATGAAGTCTTGCAGTTACATTTTATGGTTCCATAATTGTTTTACATATATTACATTTTCCAATATAAATTTATCAAACCTATCTTTCTTGATGACAATCTTATCGGTTAGAAATAAATACTTCATTAGTAAGACATTTAATTCATTGTTCTTTAACGGTTTAAATAAATAAATCTTGTTTTGTGATTATGCGTAAACTTTTTCGTTATAAATTTCACAGCGTTTCCCACTACGTCTGGATAGTGTCATGAAAACAGTCTGGTAATTGAATCCTAAATGCTTTTAAACATCTACTTGGAGCAATCTAGTTTCGTGAAGGCTTTCTTAATTTATTGTTACATATATTCCTTCATTTCATTGTTTCATTTAGGACCGGTTTATTCTCTTCAGCTGTCATTGATACTACCATTGTTATTCATTTAATTAATTTCATCTCACTGTGCTGATTCTGCTTAGGAGTTTGATTTAAAGCACATGTGTGCCAAGTCTCTATGTTGTCTATGGCTGACTAGCTGACATATATCAAAGTATTTTGGGAAATTCCTGCAAGTTCATCCTCTTATTTATTCAATGGCTTATTTACATAGTATGCTAAAATTTCTAGTGGGTCACATTTAATTCAATTAACTGTCATCGTAAGGGCAATCAATAAAAGAAACGTAATAACTTGTCATCAGTTTACTGTACAACTAATCAATGACGTATGTTGTCTGCGTTTTTCTGATTAACATGATGTCATCATATTAAATTAAATAACTTATTATTTTCCAGTCATTTCCTATCATTCATAACTAGTGATTTTATTGTTTTTTCGATCCATCCCAGTTTTTTTCATTTTAACTAGGGACTAAAATTAACTTCGGCCAAGTAGAAAAAATATATCTTATGTCATTAACTGATTTGCTATCACTTTTATTTACATGGTTCCAGATTTACTGTAATATTGATATTGTTCTTGAGGTTAACTAATCATCAGACCCTGCTCTTTCATATTTATTTCAGACTTTTGGTGAATCCACTCGAAAAGATTTTCAACACACTCATACATGGTATGAAATAATAAATCACTTTAAATTATTCATACAACACCGTAAAATAATTGCTGTAAGTTTAGATGCTTTTGTTTCATTTTTTTAAATATATAGGAATGGTTGTTTTTTATACTAAACCACTAACCTTAACTCTAAACTTTAACCCTAGATTCTTGGCTTTAACCTACTTTAACTATGAACGATGTAGGAACTCCTAAAGATCTTTTGCGTCCTTAACCAACTTATATGCTTTAGTTTTTCTGATTTACTATAGGAAATCTGTGTACTCTCTGTAATGTCACTATTTTCCCTCCATAAAGTATTTATTTACGATAACTATTTTGTGATTTGCTAACAACGGGCTAAAATTGATCGTGGTCACTTTAAGCTCGTCCATATGCTATACTCTTACCACTAATAATACTACTGGGCAACTCATATCGAAGTGGACGTAATTCGATTTAAACCTCCAACCTAATTATTGGAACCCGAGTGTTTTAACCACTGAGATACTTAAATTTACATAATAAGCTTCTATTTCGTAAGTGTTTCTCATTGCAAGATAATGATTATCACTATTATTAGCACACGTCATCGTAAACTTTTTATGGGATTACAGGGCATGGATTAGATTTTACATTCCTTAGTTCCTTTATTGTATATATACTTTTTTTAAAGTATGGCATGGATAACATCAGTTTGGTGTTCAACATACTTTAGGAGTTATCAACATGAATTTACCGCTCTTTTTGTTTTGTATTTTTTTAATAGCAAAACTATTTAATCCGATTATTAAAGTTGAGAACTATATTGGAAGTTTCCGATTTCTTTGCCAAACATGAGGTTTGTCTTAATTTTATTTGAATTTACTTACTTTATTAGAAGATTTAAAACTTTCTGGTTAGATTTTTGAACGGGATTGTAAAATATGAATTTGTTCTTTGTAAGCAAGACTACAACATACATTTTAACACAGCTGGTGTCAACAAAGGTCACCCATTCAAAGTTCTTATAATGTTATTTTTATGCTTCATTTTCAGTCGCTCTTGCAAATGTTTCATTCTGGAGACCTTTTCTTGTCTTGGTACTGATACAGCAATATTAAATTTTGTGAACGAATTACCTAGTTGTATGTAAATAATTAAACTAGTGAGTCAGCTGTGTTATTTCATGGCTTGAAAAAGAATCATGAACTGTCTTCACTTACCGTTCAACTTCACACTGATAAAATCATCATTTGCTCATCCAAAGGTTTCCTAGTGTTATTATGACAGATTTTACGATAAACTCCCAAAATAATCACCCATAAAAATCCAGATCATATTTTACGTATCAAATTTTGACAAGTATTTGTGTTCACCTAATAGGTCAATGTTAAACTAAAGTGTAGTGAGGGTTTTCCTAGATGTGAAGCTGTTTCTAGTTTTGATGTTATAGAAGCATTTGACCAAGTCAAGCTATCTACTCATTAAGCGTTAAATTATAATATACGACAATAAAAAGTTCGAAAATAACTAGGAATTCCAGTTAGTAGTAGTGAATTTTCTCAGTTTTTGTGGATGACTGTTTGGTGTAATTATCTCCACTGTAATTTTATTTTAAAATAAACGTTGATTATTCATTATTTATTTATTTGAACACAAATATTGGTACGAAAGGGCAGCAAATATATATGCGCCACACAAAACAGTCAGAATTCGAAGAGAAAAAAAGAACAATAACGACCAGATTAGTGTAAGGTAGTGTAATAATAATGATATTTAAATAGAACAAGAACAAACATTGATGCAGAATAGTATTAATTCATAATAGTTCGAGGTTTCTCGTCAGCTGCTTGCAACCAAAAATGTGATAGAATTTTTACATAGAGATAGTGTGAAACAATTGACATGCTTAATCGGAGGGTTGGTATTAGCATATCTTTGGATGAATTTCTCCGGATATACATTTTCACGTAGGCAATTGGTTAAGCATGTTACAGTGGAAAAGAAAACCTGTTTCCTGTACTTGCGCTTCAAAGGAGATAAAGTCACCAGAATTATCAATCACAGAATAAATTCCGCTTTCAAAGTGGCCTACCCGGCAGCCAAACTAACGACGTTATGGTAGACGAACTGCTCACTGAAACAAACTAAAATCGAAAAGTCCTCTTTCCTCAGTAGCTCCAACTGCATTTACCAATTCACATGTACATGCCATAGCACATACATTGGAAGAACTGAGAGAAGAGTACATGTTCGCATTTCTGAGCACGTTCCGAAGAACTTGAGGCTGCGAGGGACTAAGGCTTTCAACAGCGCAATAGCTCGGCATCTACTTGACACCGGGCACACCGTCGACATTCTGCATGCTTTTAAAATTATCAATAGACAAAAAAGTACGACCATTCTCCGTTTTGCTGAAGCCATTGCGATCAAAAAACTTAAACCGGACTTATGCATTCAAAAAGATACTTTAATAAACTTATCATTACCCTGGTAATCCTTTTTTATGTTTTGGTTATTTTAATCATTTATTTATTTATTTTAAAATATTTATACTCCTCCCCTATTACCTAATTCTTAAACTAAAAATTTTATTCACATATTTCCACAACCTGATCCTCTTAAATTATCTTAACTTTTCAAATTCTATTTAATCATTATTACGTAACCTATCTTATCTTATCATTATTCAATTCCATTAATCGTTAAAATTATCACACAATTTATGAACTTCACTAAACTATTACACCACCCACCCTAAATTAATTCCCTTTTTTAGTCTCTGACATGTTCTAGCATATATATATATATATATATATATATATATATATATATATATAGTTATTATTGTAATTCAGTTATTTACACTCATTTATGTCAATTGTTTCACACTATCTCTATGTAAAAAATTCTATCACATTTTTGGTTGTAAGCAGCTGACGAGAAACCTCGAACTATTATGAATTCATACTATTCTGCATCAATGTTTGTTCTTGCTCTATTTAAATTTATAAAGGGAACCAATTGCATGAAACAATAATATTAATAGTAATAAGAATAATGGAGGAAACGGAAAGGTACAACCAGAAGAATTCTATCAGTTAAGGAGATACAACCACTTTTTTTTATGAAGAAAGTAAAAGAAGGTTACAGCAGGATCACCACTGGCTTTATTCTGAGCCATATCTGATAACGTCTCTAGCCACTGCGTTGCACCATCTCTCGGACCCTAGCCAGTGAGTCGTGAAGGACCAACAGAAGCCAGCCCTTTGCAGCTTTCTTTCATCCCACGACACCATTTCATACACTGACCACCTCTCCGCTTTCTCCAGCCAGTCCCAGAGTCGGCAAATAATACACGACGTGGAATTCTCTGGGACGACATTCGTAGAACATGTCCAAGCCACCGAAGTCGGTGTTTCAAGATGGTGACACCAATCGCATTATCATCTCTGTGCCCAAGCACACGATGCCGAACCTCTGCATTACTAACATGGTGTTGCTACTGGATGTCAGCAATCCTTCGGAGACAGCGATGATCGAACACAGAGAGTCGTCTAAAATCGTCAACTTGGAGAGGTTATATTTCACAAGTACAGAGCAAAACTGTGTCACCGACACGTTGTAGATCCGACCTTTTACAGCCAGGCTAACGTCACGAAGGCGCCAAAGATGACCCAGATTGGCATAAGCCGCTCTGGCTTTCACTATACATGCATTAATCTCACCACTCACGCCACCACCAGCACTTATGCCGCTATCTAGATACAAGAAATTCTCGACTACTTCTATCTGCTCACCATCCAGGGTGAGTACAGGATTAGAATCCTGCCAGTCTTGTAGAAGTACTTTGCACTTCGAAGGTGCAAAGCACATACCATACCTACGGACACTGACTGCCAACTGATTAAGTGCAGATTGAATGCCTTGGGCATTATCGCACAGTAAGACAATATCATCTGCATACTCAAGGTCGAGGAGTCTCTCCAGGCGACAGATCCACACCGCCATTACTTACATCCATCAGAGCTGTTTCCAGAATGTCATCGATGGCAAAGTTGAAGAGGAATGGTGAGATTGGGCAACCCTGCCTAACCCCACTACTCGAATGGAACAATGGAGAGAGGTGGTTGTATGCCCTCACTCTGCCTGAAGTGTTTGTATATATGGCTTTTAGGATGTTAATAAACTTCTCAGGCACGCCCTTCTTCAATAGACAACCCCAGAGAACAGTCCTGTCCAACTAATCGAAGGCAGCCCTGATGTCAAGAAACACTACGATTGTTGGCCTTTGAAAAGTATGGCGGTGTTCTAACATTTGGCGGAGGGTGAAGATATGATCAATACATCCTCGACCAGAACGAAACCCAGCCTGCTCCTCGCGAGTCAATGTTTCTCGGGTTTTGAACAACCTACGAAGTATGACGGAAGCCAATAGCTTGGACGCAATCGGAAGTAGACTTATCCCCCGATAGTTGTTACAGGAACGACGTGAACCCTTTTTAAAGATAGGGACAACTATCGACTCATTCCATGACGTTGATACACTCTCTAGCTCCCAGACCTTTGTAAACGACGTCGTCAATTCCTTAGTCAAAAAGTCAGCACCATCTTTAAAAAGGGCCGGAGGTAAGTCATCTGGGCCCGGTGATTTGTAGCGCTTCAAGAGTTGGAGTTCCTTGCGGACTTCCTCCTCATTTGGCGGATCAGTCGTCACCGGCCATGGAGGGCAGGACAGTTTGACCGATGTTGCCGGAGCAGCAGGCCAGTTGAACTGCCCTTCGAAAAATTCTGCCCATCGTCCAAGACGTCGATGGATGTTAGTGATTGGCATCCCATCATCCTCGCAGATTGTTTCGCTCACACCAGACTTCTTGCTGCCAGTGGCTCGGATGATTTGAAGGAGCTTCCGGTAATTACCATATGCAGCTGCTGCTTCCAACTCATTAGCACGCTCCGACCACCAGGCTTCTCGGTCCTTACGCAAGCTTTACCCGATTTCATTACGTAACATCCTTTGTTTTTGGTCAAACTCATGGTCACCCGGAGTAGACCGATGGGCTTCAATGAGTTGTAAGGAACCAGAAGAAACCCAGTGCTTATAAGCGGGACGTTTCGCGAAGCCGCAAGCGGCTTTACTCGTCATTTTCATGGCGTCATGCAATTGCAACCAATGCTCATCTATACTTTTCGGTGGAATGGTAGCTAGCCTAGAAGCTAGCTTGGTTCGATACTTACTTGCAACAGAAGTTGCAACCAGCTTGCTAACATCAGTCCCTTGGTGGCGGTCACTTCGTTGGCCACTGAAAAGTAAGGTAAGATTGGCGCAGACCAAGGCATGGTCAGAGTCCAGATTGGTACTCCAAAAGGAGCGGCAGTCTTGTACACAACCATGCCAGCGGTAGCTGATCGCGATGTGATCAATCTGAGTCCAGGCTTGAGATGCAGAGAGAGGACGCCAGGTGGCACATCGGCGATGACTGTGCCGGAAGTTAGTGCTAGCCAGAAACAGGTTGTGGTCTGTGCACAGTTGCAGTAGACGGTCCCCGTTATCTGTTCTGCGATCAACCAGTTCCCATCGACCACCTAAACGACTCTCTTCTGTGCCTAGACGCCCGACCTGAGCATTCAAGTCTCCGACTAGTACTACAATATCTGTCGAACGCACTTTCTGGAGAAGAACAGATAACTGGTGGTAAAACTCATCCTTGATTGCATCCGGGCTGCAATCTGTCGGGGCATAGGCGGAGATGACGAAAAGACATCTTTTCTCACGCCGATTTCTTCTCACTTTGATGGAACTTTCTATTCTAACAGCACATAACCGACTGTTAATGGGGATTCAATCGACTAGTGCTGCTTCAGCTCGAGCGCTTAGTGCGACACCAACGCCAGCAAGACTAGACGAAGATGCCACAGGGTCCCCGGATAAGCGCACGTAATACAAGCTTTTCGAAGCAACAGATGGAGATCGAATTTGTAGTACTTCGCCAGAGTCTTGAATACGGGTCTCGGATAGACAACAAACATCAATATTAAGACTTTCCAAAGAGATAGCCAGCCCTATCTGTTGTCCGACCTGCATAAATGTGCGAACGTTGAAGGCAGCCAGTTTGAATGGTGCACATCGTTTCAGAAAAACTGCTTCAGTACTAGTACTTGATGGTAGCACACAATTTCCAACCAGGCAGTGACTCGAGAACGTTTAGATAGAGCCGAATTTCCACCATAGGCGAGCTGCTGTATAAGCCGAAAAATAAGGATACATAGAATGGGAATAAAAGAGAGTGAATAAATAACGTAGTAAATAATAATAATAATAATAATAATAATAATAATAATAATAATAATAATAATAATAATAATAATAGTAATAATGTGAATTGTCTGACTGTAAGTCGATGCGAGAATAGAGTTCTGAGTAAATACCATCATTTTCATTACCATTATATTTGTGTGTGGGCTGTGATACTGCCCGGGTACCCAGACCGAAGCAGGTGGTTTTTTTAGGGGGCCATACTCCGAGCCTTTGACCTAAAGGTGTGTCACCCGCAAGGCAGTGGAGCATCGTGAGAAGATGTAATCCTGTGGTAGCCGGTGACCAAAGATTGGTTCATTCGCCATTTGTTCCCGCGGGATACTGGAGCCCATGTGCACCATTGGTCTCAGATCCGGTCAAAGTGCCGGACATTCGCTGTTCGTCCTCTCATTTTCGTAAACAACACCCCCGCCACGAGAAGGCAGTGAGTAGGACTTCCCTGGCAGAGGCTGTATACGCGTGGCCGTGTGTGAGCGTTTCGAGACGTAGGGCGGGCCCACCCTACTCTTGGCCATACCAGGGCATTTGGGGGCCACGTTGAAATTACAAATGAATGCATACATTATGCGAAATGCAACACTGACTTCATTTGTAATTTAATATGAATTATTGAGACCTACGTAATTAGATTTTTGTTTTTATGAGTAAAATGAATGATTTATGGAAGTTTTTGGCCCGGTATATTCAAACGTACATAAATTGAAACTTTGTATCAATGCATAAATATCATCAACATATGTCATTTTTAGTAAGGGCTTGCAATTTCCCCTTGTTGATGTGTACTGAATATCAAAAGCGGGAAATTACGAAGCTTTATTGATACCTTCACACCCGTTGAATACATTAGTGGTTATCTGGATGATACATTGTGCAATTGATGCGAAACGTATATACTTCGAGATCCGATGTGAAGGTCAGTACTGACGAGCAGGTAAATCTACCAGATGAGTCCAAAATAAGATGAGACGCCCATCCTGGGTCCCACTACTAACTGCATACCAACTATATTAAAATATGTCTATTTTGTTTGTTAAACTAAATTTTTGTTAGCTAACTGATCATTTTGAATGTGATCCATTCAAAAATGTATGTATGTCTGTAAATCCTTCTTTGCCTTGTTTTCTAAAGTAAAGAGGATAAGATCAAACACGGATGTTCAATAATAATGTGCTTTCAGTGTATGGCATGAAACTCTTTATAATAGTTTTGTATAGAGTACAAGCTCTTCATCTTAGCAGAGTCGTATATCGGAATAAAACTTACGTTTATTTACTCCTTAGTTCTCATTGATTTTTCAGTGGATACCAGTTTGTGGCGGAAATTACCTTCAACTTGTGACATTTAATTAGATCTTAGCTAATTTCAAGATGTACGGTTTGTTAATCTGTCTAATTACCCTAGGAATAATTTATTTGCTTTCAGTAATTGAAATAAATTACATCATTCTCTCTACAAGGTGGTGAATTACTTTTTAATCATTTATTACTACTTACGATCACAGGATAGATTTTTGAGCCAATATGTTCATGAAGTACAAACTTTTTAATGCTGTAAACCAAATAAATAATAAATACTGCGCTAAGACTGTTTACAGACGAATTCTTTTGTTATAGGCAGGTGATTGGTGGCAGTTCATGTGATATCTATCCAGTGTTTTATGTTTCAAACACTTCTTTTCTAACCTTATTATCTACTAACAGTAGATTAAACGAAATATGAGATGGTCATATTAATTGGAGGATGAACATCGAATAGGGAAAATGAAAAAAAAAGAGCTTGCCAATTGAATCGCATCATTACACTTCCAGGTAGCTACGTATAGATAATGCCTATCATCAAATCCTAACTCATCATTAGTATGTTTATCATCAGGTGCAGGTAATTGATGCTATAAAAAATTCAACGAACACATCACCCTTTTAATTTCTTTTATATTGGATCAAAGTAATGTTTTGTATTCTTATTTTCGGGACCTACAGTAAATTCTAATTACCAACTATTGTGGTTCTTTTAATGCAAACTCGATAAACGCCTGACGTGGGCTGACATTTCAACCATAATCCTCAACGCGATTGATGACAGGAAGCAGTTAATTGACCAGGAAAACTTGATATTCAAAAATACACATTCGAAGTAGAATAGCTCTGTATATATTTAGTAACAATCATAACCTTAAGGCAGTAAAATTAGCAAACTGAAATGGAGGATAGTTAGTCAAATGACAGCAAAGGTAAATGGGGATATATGAATTAGGAAAATGCTATCGTGGTTGTTCTTCCATGTATGCGCCGACATTTATTAGTAAAAAAACTAAATAACTTGTGGTAGTCTCGGGGAAGTTACCTTTATTCTTTGATTTTATAGTGATTGATTCCATTTATGTAGGTATCTTCTTCAAAATACTTTTCTTATATAAATGTTTCTTCCACAAAATTTTTTATTTATCATGATCTGTCTACTGATAACGTCGTGAATTGTGTCATAATTTCTTTGTTTTTGTTTTAAATTACTGATTCGGTTTTTAATTCTTAAGAAAATAATCCCTTGATAACATGAAAGACAAATAGAGCAATTTTATCCATAAGTACATGAAACTGTCATTGAACAGAGAGCAGCTTGAAGTGATATTGAACATTTGGGTTTAGATATTATTATTATTATTATTATTATTATTATTATTATTATTATTATTATTATTATTATTATTATTCATACCAATACTACAATATATAGACCTAATAATATTAGTGTAGTTTTTCTTTAGGCGGGTATTAGAAGTGACTTACCAAACCATGATACTAATATAATTGATAATCGTTTGCATTTCCCATGCCTACATTGTGGATTATGCACGAGGTGTAATACTCCAATTATATTTTGCCAAAATCTATTTTATGTCCTTATTACAAAGAATTCGACTTATCCGTTTGTTGATAATATTGAATGAATTTCGACCATTCTTTATTGGAATATATGCATCGTGTGCGTATTGTCTCGATATTGCCCTTTTTCACAAGCTTTTCTGGAAGAAATGGATTACTGGCTAACAGTAGAATTCGGGACACGCGTTTCATTCTGTTTGGGACTCGTCATCTGGGCTCATATGCATCCTAGTGTTGGTTCCCACATCCGAATACGAGCCCACTACCTTTCACTTCAAATGCCCAGCGCGTTATTCACTGAGCCACTAATTCCTGATAGCCATCCACTTGCGCAACAAAGGGTTCGAGTCCCTGTGTGAACATCAACATTGAGATCCGAATACATCTATCTGACATGTCTCAAATAGAACGAAACATGAGTCCTGGATTCTTCAGCTGACAGTAAATCCACCTATCTCGTAAAGGACTATTTTGTTCAAGTATTCTTTTAATAATAGTTTTGTAATGGATATTTTTGTCTATGTTTATTGATGTCTTGATGAAGACAGTATTTTCATCCAACTATCTAACACTGCCCTATTTAATATTAACTTGCATAATCTTGGCAATGGTATCATGTATGAATTCTTTTTGTGTGTTTAGTGTTTAAACAGAACATAAAAATTCCCTTTTCTTTATTCTTTATCTCCCACTTCAGTTTATCGGCTCTTCATTATTATTTGTTCATGATCAATCAGGCTATGCTAATATCTGGTTAATTGATTTCGCTAAAATAGCCAGTCCATCGAACAATCAAATTCGTGTAAATCATCGTTCTGTATGGAAACCTGGCAATTATGAAGATGGCTATTTAATTGGAATTGATAATTTAGTGAAATTATTCGAAGAAATTATTCATGAATGCCAGTAGTTCCAGATCTCATAGATTATTCCCTTTTGTTTTTCCGTTTCCATATCTTTGCTAGTGTTTATATATATATCGAAAGAACATTACGATTTATATCCGGTTTAGTATACAATATTCACATTTCCCATTTTTTACGTTGACTTCATAGAACTAATTGATCTGCCCATAGAACAACTATCGTGTTGTGCATTGACTCAATAATAGTGAGCTTATCCATTTTGTGTTTGTTTATTACTCCCTGATCGTATCCACTTTTCCCCCCACCTTTTGATGGCAACAGTACATTACAAAATAAATTAAAGCAACAGATCGCTTGAAAAAAACATCTTTTTTTACGTTTTCATGTTTGTTTTTTAATTGATTTACTTGAGAATCAAAATTGTCTTCACAATGTATGTAAGACAGTTTCAATATCTTTTTTTACTTGTGATTTAGACATATTTTTGATAAATGGAATAGTTTTTTGTTCAAATGTTTTCATCATCAAATGTATTTCGCCACATCTATTTTTTTCTAGAATTATTTTTTGTTTCTTTGACATAGTACTAGTATTCTCAATATTGATTTGTTATTGTAACATAAGTTTATCGATTTCAAGCACATTCCAACTATGCCAATTTGTACAATTATAAAATGTTGAATGTTTCATATTTTTTCTTCTGATTCATGCGTGTTAACTATAAGTGAGTGACCTGTGCTGTGTGGAAGATATTTCAACTGGTATTTGGCTTCATGACACAGTAACTGGGATTATTGATCTCGCCAGTTCAGTACAGTTCTCTCCCACAAATTATTACTTTTCTGGAGAAATTAAGTAAATGTTATTTGAATCATGGCACAAAAATGTCATTCAATAGATTATGGTCTCAGGTTAATTGTAGGAATGATTTGAAATTAACAATGTGTCTTTCTGTAGCCACCAATTTCAACAGAGGGAGGATATTGAAATTGGTTGAGAAGGTAATTTACTATGAAGTAGTGCTTGATTTTAAGTTTGTAGAAGCAGAAGATTTGGGACCAAGTGTTCAATATGTATAATGTGAGGATCTCTGAAAATTATTTGGTTGTTAATTGGGATTAAGGGAAATGATTCTCGAAAAACCTAATATATTAGGTGTTCGGCACAATAAACCACATGTCTTCTGCCTCTTCTCAAACTCTCTAACCCTTTCCTATATATGATATATCAATAAATTATCATAATAGTGATTAAATATCATAAGGCCAATGATAATCAATTTCCACAGGGAATCATGCAGCTTAAAAGTTAGGCGGTAACCAATCGACAACGTAGGATGAGGATCTAGCTATTTCATATTTCTATATTATTGGATTTTAAATCACTGGCTTAAAAATATCATAGTAGTCCCTATATTCGAAGGTCTTGTGTTCCACTCTATTCTGAGTATCGATTTTTTCAATTCGCTGAATATATTACCTGTATATCTTAATGTGAAATATGCAAGTATCCTTGTTCGAATCTAGACAGAATGATTTATTTCTAGCCAAATGAAATACTTCTGTGCAACAAAAATGAGTTAAAATGTATGTTCATGTTAGGTGTGGGCAATTTTATCGATAGACACACCGCCAAACTAAGAAATTGAGACTTGATAATAAAAGTTTATCCTTGCCATTCATACCATGCACTTACTGAGAGATGTTACAGTAACTGATAATTTACATTAGAGTTTATCTACGAGTGTTGAGTTCTGTTGGTAAACAATATAAATTTTCATTTATGGAGTTTAGTTTAAGTGTAAATGATATGAAGGACACTAACTGAATTTTCAGAACACAACGCGATGAACTGTGAACTGTTTAATCAATGAAAGAAAGTGACAAAGAATAATTAATGGGAGTTTCATAGTCTACATTAATTGTGTTAGTATAAGGATGAAAACGAACCCGAAAATCATCAGAAGAATGAAAAATCTTGTTATTGTTCTTGTAGTTGATATAAAATTTATGTACGAAGATTAGCTTTTTCATATCTCAGTTTTGTTATTCTTTGTAAGTTATTGATGTAACAGTTAATTGTAGGGTTATGTTCATGTACCATTGGAGAAGCATAAACAGAGACAAAATATTTCATTAAAATCATGAGCTGATCTAAGTCAGACCATTGAAAACCTGGTAGCACTGGACGGCCATCTCGACCTAGTATGGGACTCCTTGGCAGTACACGTCCAAAACTCCATAAACGTGAATCAAACTCAGGACCTTCAGTCTCGCATGAATGCTTAATCTCTAGACCACTGAGCCGGGATCCAATGGTGTTAATGTCTCCTGCAACTAGTTACTTTACTCATTAATAGATATTCCCATTTTCCTTCAATATTAGTCTAGCTTAGAACGGTTCATGATTTCAACGAAGTTCAATAATCTGCACAACCACATACTGACAAGATATTTGTTGAGATTTAGATGGTGGTTGGAGGTAGTCAACAGGAAACCCTGGACCCGAGTTTCGTGCTACTTGGCACTCGTCAGCAAGGTGTACCTGTTGTCTTGAGGGAACTGGTACTCCCTGGCGGATTCGACCTCGTGTCACCCAGCTTCACAGTCAGAGACGTTACTACTGAGCTATCCGAGCCGCGACTGACCTGTAAATTAAATAAATCCATAAATCAATTTAGTATATACATTTTGTTTATAATACTTATTGGAATGTTACACCAATTAGATCTGATTAGTTCTGATTTAAAGTATTCCTTAGGTGAAGATATTCACTACAAATGTTTTACTGCCATAATGTCTACTTATAAATACATAATATAACAAGTAACTCTGTTATATATAGAACTCCTGGTTGACATTAAATACTCATTGGACTTTGCTAGTTCCGGAGTTTATTTTTAATGTTTAAATTCCAAGTTCTGTGTGTAAACATGCATTAAGATCCTGTAGGTGACATGAGTTTCATTCAGTGTATTACTGAACTACACTCAAACCCTTGATGTATTTCCCTTTATCAAAACTAGTCCCCCACACTTCAATTTCAATATCTCATTTTCTAATAGAATATAGTTCTACGTTGATGCTGGTCAACACAAAGCCTAGTCGAGTATCTCTATAAATGCAGGAGATGTTCTAGCCTCAGATAAAATGTACTCAGTATAACTCTATACTCTTTTTGAATTAAAATGCAAACATATTTGAAAAAAAAACTTCCAAAAGTACAATTTGTCCTCAATCAGTACTTTTTATGTCAGCTATTTATTCACATAAAGAATATATAAATAACCCTAACTTTATTGTTTCACACCATTTGACAATATAGTACTATTATATTTATTTAAGTTGAGTATGTTGGGTCAGTCACGTGCCAAATTTTGCAACATTTTAAAAACCATATGCTCTTGAATTGTATGGATACTAAAATGATTAGTATCATGTTTAGTGTGACTGTATATTCATATGTATAATTCTAGGTACTTTTGTATTAGGTAAATTATAAATTTTCGGATGTGACAATCTACCAGAACTATTTATTTTATAAGATAAATTATGAATAATGAATATTCTATATGAAAGTTCATAATTAAATATATACTTGTCATTAGATTTTATAATTAAATATATCAAATAACTAAGCTAGTTTTATTTTAAATTCCGCTTGTTCAAAAAAAAAATTGTTGTCATGCTTAAAATCAATTTCACTGACAGATAATTCCCATTTAAACATTAAAAGAACACAAAGTATAGCGAAAGGGATCTCTCTTCAGTTAATGTAATAAGATGATTAAAATGTTTTTGTTACAATAATTAAAGGTCATAGAGGTGTAAAAATAACTAAGGTGATATGATGAGCATTTATGAATAAAATAATAAGAATATAAGACATAAGTAAAAGGGAATGCAATAATAATAATATTAATCAAGGCCAAAGTAACGATAACGATAGGACGTACCTCTTTTTTACGCATGGTTCTAGTTTGAGCCTATGGATAGTAACAGCTTCGGCTATTTTTAGGAGTTGGATAAGATGAAATCAAGGTAGATTTGAACAAATCATATATATAACCTTAAAATTAAACTGTGAATCCGTAGAATGATTACAGTCGATTAGGTGTTAAAGTATAGAACTCCTAACTGCTTTCCTCTTACTCTTGTAGAACCTTTTTAATCATCTTATTACATTCACTAAATCTATTTTTATTATCCGTATTACGTAATCTTTCTATTACGTCATCTTGGTTATTCATGTCCATATTTCCTCATGGAATCGGTACTTTCACAAAAAAATTTCATATATATATGATTGTACAGCTTGATAATAAATTCGTTGAAAAGAGATCCCTTTGCTGAACTTCGTGTTCTGAATTACTGTTATGATTTGTCTAATTACGTTAATTGATCGAAAAAACAATATCGCAAGAATTATTCAAGAGAGACTGTCCATAATATGATTTCGACCAGTTTGACAAACTTCAACAGAATGAATAAACAATATTACAACATATAGTTGTAAATATAATAAAACAAAATTGATTGTTATTTTCAAACTTAATTAAATAAATTACCTACACCTGTTACCATTCTTGGAAGAGCATAAACCGCCTACTATGATTCTCTATTGAAATCTGTCCTAGGAAATTCTTTGCAGTTGCTATTCATCCTTTTCATATCTGCTTCTATTTCTCTACATAATGTGTTCTTTGGCCTTCCTCTTTTCCGTTTCTCTTCAAGATTCCAAGTTAGGGCTTGCCTTGTGATACAGTATGGTGATTTCCGTAATGTATGTCCTATCCACCTTTAACTTAATTTTCCTATTTTCCTATTCATCTGGAAGCTGGTTTGTTCTGTCTCACAGTAGGCTGTTACTGATGGTATTGGGCTAACGAACATTGAGTATCTTACGTAGACAATTGTTTATAAATACTTGTACCATTTTGATGGTGGTTGTAGTAGATCTCCAAGCTCCAGCTCCATACAGTAGGACTGTTTTGAAGAACGTATTGAAAATTCTCACTTTGATGTTGATTGACAGTTGTTTTGAGTTCCATATGTTCCTCAACTGCAGGAATGCTGTCGTCTCTCTGCCAATCCTTGCCTTCTCATTTGCATCGGATCCTCCACGCTCATCGATGATGCTGTTCAGGTACATATTAATTTTGCACCTCTTCTAGAATTTCTCCATCAGGTGAGATTGGATTGGTGTTCTTTCTGTAATGGATTCGAGTCCCTGAGTGAACGTCCACTCGGATACAGGTGTATCCAGATGACGAGTCCCAAATAGGATGAAATGTGTGTCCTGGATTGTACGGTTGGCCACAATGCCTCTCTACTTAAGAAGTTGAATACTTGTTCAGTGTTGTGCGAGTGATTTATGTAAGTGATTTTATCTAATCATTTACAATAACTAACAGTGTTACTTTTGTGTTAATGTCTTGTACATAAACATATTACTTCCCTAGATAAAAAAGTTTATTCTTTTGGTTATTGGCTTTGTCTTTGATATTAGTTTATTCGGGATTTGGTTCAATAATTGTACTTCATGAGCCACCTTCACTCAGCCAAAGTATACTATTGCATATTATCAATTAGTCTTTGGAGTTCATCCATCTTTACAACTAAAAATCCTAAAATCTTAATAAATAATAGTAATAATAATAGTGGCGAAGTTGGCGGGGTTTGAACTCACG